TTAATTAAATAGATAGTAAAAATTAGAGGTTATTTACAAATGAAAATGTAAATTATAATAAAGTTCTATTTACGAGGAAATTTGGTTTTATCAACTGAGTTGATGATTAAAATAGGCTGTCATGAAAAGTTTGCAGTGGCGACGTTTCGAGCATTGGCCTTTTTCTTTTTCTCTGTCGAAATGCTAACGCTCGAGACGTCAGCAACAGAAACTCTTTAAGATGGCTAATACTTACAGATGATAAGACCATGATTATCTTAATTGAATAATCTCTCCGGCGCAGGACCACAGTTTTTTTCGGAAACTTGCCCTCTTTAAGTTTAATTGGGTAATCATCTCTTTAGAAACAGGTAATTTGCGGCCTCCTTTCAATAATACTCATTAAGGGTCTCACTTTGCCTTTATCGATCAGTTTGTTAATCGGGTATAGCTTTGAGTGTTAATCGAAAAAAAAATTGGCTACCTTCACTTAAATCGCCTAATTACCTGTTAGCAATCGAGCACTGCATATTTACTATGTCCAGTGTGACATCTGCAAAATAAGACCCTAATGCTTAGAAAATTGACATTTAGAAACTTTAGGAAGTCTTTTTATGTTTTATCCTCATATCCTTTAGAAAATGAACAAATCTGCCAATAACAGAGCTGGTGGCGCATTGAAACGAAATTTCAAAACGGCCCATGAAATGGACCATTCTCCTTACCGGAGTAAACAATTACTTACGAGTTCTCTTTTTTAATAATCCGATAAGAAAAATTCATCTTTTCTTTTCAGTGTAGATATAACCACCGCCAGGCTGTGGAAAATGCATGAAAATGTCAGGTTACAAATTTATTTTTTTCTTCCCATGTGGCTCTTTGTAACAAATTCTACTTAGTGGTAGACATACCACAGAGATAATCCGTCTGCCCTTTTGCATAGATTTTTGCAGAAAAAAGAGCGGAGAAATCTTCTGTCTTTTCTTCTCCGATGATAGTATTGGTGCTTGGCCACTTGTCACAGAAAAGGGCAGTATCTTAAAGGTGTACTTTAAACCCTAAATACCCGACGAAGAAAACGTTTTTTCTAGACTGGTAAAAAATTAATTGATTTTTGTTTTTGGTATGATTTGTAAATTGTTGGGAAACACATCAACTCTCTAGCAAGAATGTATCTTAGTTCTCTTCACCATTAACAATTACATCGTTATTGACACTCAAACTCGGAGGCAACGCGCTTCTTATCGCATTTCAACTCGAGTCACCATGAAAACTCATTTGATCTGAAATAACACGTTATAGTTATAACCTCTTTTTACCAGATACAAGGCGACAGTTTTGTCCTTTAACACTGAGTATGGCAGTGAGAAGGAAGACTTAGAAGACACAAATAAACAAAGCACAGAAATGCCAAAAACACTTTCAAACTGCATGTAGATGATTTTACAAGCTTACTGAATAATAAATAAACCAATCCTAAAAATAAATGATAAACAAAGAAAAACATTCGGAGAAGGTAAAAATATTTTTTTAATGTTGAAAATGACGGTATTAAATGTTTCAAAACCTACTGAGTATTTTTTTTACTAAGGCTGAGTTAACCCAGCCACGCCCCCTGCTTAACCAGTGGAAAATGGAAGGATATTAAGTCTTAGGTTTATAGCCTCTAATGTGCGATTCAAGAAAGTCGGGTAATCTGTAGCCGGCTACAGAAACTCCTCGCATCGTTGCCAGGCTCCCCTTTCAATGAAATTGAAAGATAATGCAGGATCTCGGCGATGATAAATTTCCTGAGAATCCCTTGGAATAAATATTTCTTTATACAGTCCAAAATGGCGTCTGTGATCACAAGAAAAATGACTAATCTTCAAAGTAGAAAAGTATCGTAGTCGCATCGATTTTTTGAAGGAGTTATATTTTACGAATTGCGGTTAAGTAAGTCTTGCACAAATAAATAAGCAATGACCAAAATTTCTACTAAGAACTAAATTTTGTGATGTTGTATTCAAGCCACAGAACAGTGATTAATTGAACGTTTTATTTATATTCTGGTGAAATTTCACTGGAAACAATTTTCATAACCCTTTTCTCCCCAAGAGTGACCGGCTCCTAATTTCCCTTTACAGTATCACCCTAGAACCAAATGTAATGGTCGTGAGAATTATGAAAATGGTCGGCAATTTATGAGCTCCCGATTCATAAACAAATTCTTTTTGTCAGCACCATTGGAAATGTAGAGGGAGCGTTTGGAGAAAGTGCATACAGACGTTGGGGTCAGCCAGGAGACCTTTTTTTCGCGAATCATGGACAATCCGATGAGTCCAAAAATTTTAATATCAGCAAAATTTTCACACTGCACGTTCTTTGGAATACTACACAATTTTCAGCGAGGAAATAATCATCCGAATATACTGAAGAATATTACAAACACGATTTAAGTTTCGTCTTGTCAGCTGCTGAAATAACCCTAAGCTCAATGACACCATGTAAAGTATGCCGACAGAGGAATTTTTATTTGGATTCGTTGCTGGTATGAACTGTCCTAAAAATTTTCTTTTTTGCGTTTGAATATTCAAGTATAATTGAAAGAGATGTACTCTTTCAACACTTTCCTTCTCATCCTTTAATTGGGCAAAATATGTGCATGCGTCCAAAGATGTAGACTGATATCTATCACTTAATGATGTAATATCTTGATTTTTTAACAATACAATAGCGAGGGTGTCAACCTGCAGAGAGCGCAACCGCAAAAAAAGAAAAAAAAAATGCAGCTGGAATGTTTCACTTAGTTGTGATATGACATCGCTCGTGAAATGGTAAGTTTTGAACATCGTTTGGTCAAGGTCAACCGTGGCAAGTTATTAATAAATACGAAAGGGGGATGTATACTCACTTGTCTTACATAATTATCAAATTGACCGCACTTGGAAAAGGTACCGTGTGAGCATGGCTTCTGTTGCTTCTATTTTATCAGGAGAAAAATTAGCAGACTTAATTTCAGCAACTTATCATTACAAAGAATGGTAATTATGATTCTACTTCATGTTTGATATCCGACTACTCTCAACAATTTCATCGGACAAATTTTTATCCAATAGTTTCTAAGATGCTATACAATTTTAAAGATCAAAATCTACTAGTTGACTAAAAAATGTACAATTTATTGGCCCTACCTACCCTTCAAAACAGGAATTTTTTTTTCTATTGTAATGCATGTCATGACGATTTCATCTCTCTTAATCTCTGTTTCTTACGACGAAAAAAAAAATAACAAAGACAAGAAAAAAAAACAGAACAAAGCAAAAAAAATCATAAAGACAATGCTACTTGCGCTAATAATTTATTTGCTCTCAGTCTTTCATTGGCTCAGGAGGTTATGGCCAGCACTCACTGCTGAGTGTAGCTCGAGTTAAAATTAGTTCCAGGGATAAATTGAAAACCCTAAGAATTTTATCTTGGAAAACTTGGATTGAATGAAAAGGATTAATTTCCATTGTCCGCCACAACTTCGTTGTCTGAATGACCGAAAAGAAAAAATTCAGAATCTGTTGAAATTTTGATTCAGTTTTCAGTCAGCATTCAAAATCTTGTGTCCATTGCAACACCGTTATACAAAGCTATTAAAAAATGGTGAAAGTTTACTGATTTGATAAGATCGCATTGCTATATCTAGAGAGAAAAAGACTATAAAGCTGAGATTTTTGACTCACATGCACTTCTCTCTAAACTTGGCCAACTACCAAACGAAAGGTGAGTCATCATTGAGCTCAAATGATCCCAGGACCATGCATTTCCTTTTTGTGGTTTAGCTTCAAGTGTTCGTAACAGAAATGGTTCCCGTGAATTCTCCAAAATGAACACTGACTGTCCAGCGTAAAGATTTCGCCTTCTTGTTGACGCCGAAGTAACGACATTTGATCCGATAGAAAAAAGACGGTTTTCCCTAAATTCGTCTGAATCAGAAGCTTTGGCTGTAATTGTCTTTAAATATCATCGTGATCTATTTCAAAAAGGGACTTGTATAGTGGTAAATACTGCAATTTAGTTGTTGGGGCACCTGAACGTGTTAACAGTCGAAACTGATTGATGTTTGAATCCTAACTGGAGACTCTTTCTCCCACTTTCATGACTAATAAACGTAGAATTCTTCCTTGATTTCAGTGAATAAAAAATATCTTGCAGATTCCTTTCATACGGAATGAGTGGTTACAATGACAGATGTTAGGATCTGGATCGTGTTCATACTGGCTGTTGGAACATTGACGAATGCAAACAATTTTCGGGTACTAATATTTGTTTTTCTGAAACAATTTCTTAACGGTTTAACCTTCCCGTTCGTAGCGTCGAAATTTGGTCAAATATTTTCCTCCTTTTCTTACTTTTTCCGCTTGGTGAAGCTTATTGTTAAAAAAATCACAACTTTACGTTGAAGAGGGAGAGTGGCAGAGGATTTTAGAATTTCTAATGCAAATAGATACCACGAGGGATTAATGGGTTTCAGAAGATTGATAACGTTTTCACTCATCTACCTGTAATTTTAGTTGTTATGCTGATCGAGGTGTAACGATATACGTGCACTATGATCACCTATTTGCATTTCTTGTATCATAGGTTTAAAGCACGTAGATCGATTAAAAATGAAAATATCTAGTCATACTTTTTGCGTCGTGAATTTTTTGAAGCTACTTTTGAGATATGAGGAAGGGCAAGTGTATGCCAACGCCACAATGTTCCAGTACATCTTTTCCGTAGTCTTTTGGAACAAGAGAACCTCTTGTAGTCGTTTCCAGTGTGTTCTGAAACGATTTGTGACGGTTTATAGGTAGTCAGTTGTTCCAAAAAGAGTCCTCCTGTACGTTACATCGCTATAGGCGATCCTTCAGGTTACTAAGCGGAACAATTTTTGCAAAGACCCGTGGGTTATACCCCTCTGAGTCGCTTTTCTCTATTCCGCCAACAATGAAATGTTTAAATAAAATCACTTTCAAATGAAGGCTGAGAATTTGAGACAATGAACCCAAATGGAACAGAACTTTATACAGTATGTTTATCGTCAGTATGTTTATCATTCCTTTTCATCGCAGATGAGATATCTCTACAGAGTCAGTGATGAAGAATCTGGAGGTAGGCGATTTTTTCTGCATAGGGCTACCACTAAGGGACAGTTTGGGCGGACATGTCCAGAGAAAAAAAAAATAGTGGCGTTGTTCGATCGCGAGACGAATCTCCTATTCTTAGTCAGTCTCATGAAATTACACCGTGGCATGTACACCTTAAAACAATTTATTTTAATGTCGATATCTGCAATCTTCGGTAGGGATCATTCATTGCTTATCGCCTGAGGGGGAGGGCGGTGTCGAAATATTTTTTTTTCGGGGGGAGGGAGTATCCAAGTATTTTTTTGGGGGGAGGGGGGTATCATATTATTTTTTTTCGGGGGAATCACATGGTTTTCCGGGCAAACAGAATCAGTCGTCGCTGACAGGGTATTAAACTAGGGGGACTATAAAAATTGAATGCCACGATACCTTTTATCATGGTTCGTTTCCTTTCAAGTAAAGCTTCGACAGGCCATGTGACTTTTTAAATTACAATGACATGGCATGATGCGGAATGGCATGGGATGTTATGACATGACTTGATATTGCATGGTATGACATGGAATGGTACAGAATGGGATTGCATGACATGAGATGAGATGACGTGACATCATATTACTGTGCATAACATGAGATCACTCGGCATTGCATGGTAGGCATGGTATACATGACATGGAATTTCATGGCATGGAATGACATGACGTTGCACGTTTTGTCAAATGAAAATTGATTTAATTTCATCTTCTTTTCATAGAATGTCGTGGTGCTCTGGGATTGGAAAGCGGTGTGATCACTGATGGCCAAATTACAGCTTCTTCTGAAGCTGGCGCTAAGTTGGCACCCAGCAATGCCAGGTTACATTTAAAGAAACAGAAGACACCTAGAAAGAGGGACGGTGGTTGGTCAGCTAAGAAAGGTGATGTCAATCAGTGGCTCCAAATTGATCTTTTTGACGAGAATGCTAAAGTGACTGGTGTAGCTACACAAGGACGAGAAGACAACAACCAGTGGGTACTAGAGTACAAGTTACAGTTCAGTAATGATGGAATGGACTTTCAAGACTACGTGGAACCAGGACAGACTGAGGGAAAGGTAAGTAGATCTAACATTAAACAAACTTGGAGGCTCGAGGCAGCAAGTACATTATTATACGCAAAAAGCTTAGTGAAATCCAGAAGCCTGGGTAATGATAACTTGATAATTTGGTTTTATCAACTTAGTTGATAACGTAGATTTGAAACTCTTAACGCTGACCAATTTCCACTGTCAACTTACTTGATAAAACCAATTTATCCTGCGCAGTACCACAGTTTCTTAAGAAGCTTACCACTTTTAAAGATATCTTGGTTTGGTCCATAATCTAAAATACATTTCTTTCCGTTACTCCCTTAGGTATTTACCGGTAACACAGACAGATCGACTGTTGTTCGTCACGATTTGAGTCAACCAATCACGGCTCGTTTCATCCGTTTTCGGCCTCTCATTTGGAAGGGGGCCATATCCATGAGAGCGGAGCTCTATGGTTGCTTGGGTAATATAGAAATAGTTTCTAATTTCTAGTCGCTACCATATATTTCATTTTATTCACCCTTACATCAATGAATTACATGTCGCGCGATAAGGTAGCCTAGTTCCGATTTTTGTAGCACCACAGTACCCTCTGTGTTGTAGATTTTGATAAACTTATACGCTTACAATTGTAAACTATCGCAAGATAACCAGTTTTAGTAACCCAGTATTTATTTTTATCAAAAATATAGCTCAAACATGTGCAAACCCTCTCGGCATGGAAAGTGGTGAAATCTCCGACGCTCAGCTCTCTGCTTCTTCGAAAGTTGGCACAAACCATGGACCACAGCGTGGCCGACTAAACATTTGGAGACAGTGGTCGTCGAGAGGTGCTTGGTCTGCTGAAACAGATGATGTCAATCAGTGGTTCCAGATTGATCTTCTGAGTCAATATACAAAAGTGACGGCCATAGCTACACAAGGAAGTGAAGACATGAAGGAGTGGGTCACTAAATACAAGCTGCACCACAGCCAGGATGGAGTGAATTTCGATTCATATAAAGAGCCTGGAGAAGCTATAGACAAGGTTAAATATGTACTGGATCTCAGGGCCTCATTCAGCCAAGCTTATCCCAGTTTCAGCAACATTAAACGAAATGAAGTATTGCTATAACCTCTGTATAGAATGCTAGTCCATCGCCAGGTTCCCCTGACCGTTTGCCGGTGCTCATTTACGCTCCTGGGTGGAGAGATGCACTGTGAGAGTTAAGTGCCTTACTCGAGAATACATAACAATGACCCGGTCATGTCTGTTACCGAGGCTCCTCAACTTGGAGTCAACTGCGATAACTTGTAGGCAACTTCATCTCCCACGAAAATCTAATTAAAATAATATGTTCTTAACGCATCGCAAGTTCAACGTCTCCAAGTTTTTATTACAGCACTCCTAAGTTAAAAAAAAAAAAACGCGTGAAATCGTTTCAGCAATTGTCTCAGTTAAGGTTACCTACAACATGTGCTCAAATAAATCTGTTGTTATGTTGCAAAGAGAGAACAAACCACCAGCTGCTGCCAGACTTGACTTTGATCTAATGGATTGAGTTTTTAATGAGCTCAAATATTGATTAATCTTGTGCAGGATTTTGCGGGAAACAAGGACCAGAACACCATCGTTTATCATAAACTAAAAAAGCCAATTATCGCACGTTTCATCCGATTTGTTCCCATGGCATGGTTTGGACACATCTCCATGCGAGTGGAACTTTATGGCTGCTCAGGTATAAATTGATCTCAATTAGTTTTTAGTTTATTTTATTCTTTATTTTTCTAAGGGTCTTCCCACACTGTTATCGCTCATGCAAATGCGAACTGCTGGAGTCGAAGGAGGGTTTGTATAAGAGAAAGTAATACGGTCTTAAGAAACAATGTCGCTTTAATGAATATACATACCTTCATAACTTATATCGGATGTCCTATCTTGTAGCTCTGTTGGAAAATTTGGACGAGAGCGGAGATGGATTTGCCAGCCAAAGTGAAATAGTAAACTTTGGATTAGTGTGGCAGGGTGACGTAGACTACTTCGATCTGAACTGTAAGTGCACAATTTTTAAATTTTTACTAAATTTAAAAGTTGGTCTCTGATACCTCTTTCCCTGTGGGAAAGGTGACGGTGGTCAGCACACTCCGCTGTAAGTAGACCTCGGTACACCCAGGAATACAACTGGTTACTGGAAAACTGTCAGGGAAGCCAGACGAAAAAGTGGGGAGGGAGGGGGTTGGGGGTTGCCTAGTAATATCCCTAACTGCTTCATGCCGCAGAGATCAGGATAGGCTTCACTGCCCATGACTTCACGAGCGTCTTTCCCAGACTAAAGACATTTTTAAGAATGCGTGGTAATGACGAACAACACCAGTTTTTTTTTGTCTTTGAAAGGTGTTTCAAAATACATATCTCCACAGATGATGGTAAGCTCAATCTCGAGGAGACCAAAATACTGATGTCCAAAGACTTAGAAAAGAAAAAGATGATATGCCATTTCAAAGCCACTGACACGAACCATGACTTGTTCGTGACGGCGGAAGAGCTGAAAACACGATTTGAACATCTCAAATATGACATTACTCAAGACGGAGTTGTTGAATTTATTCAGCAAGGAGACGACGATGTGGCAGATAATAAATTCAACTACAACGGTGGGGAATTAAAAATATTAGTGTCATAAGTAAAGGGAAAATAGACAAGCAGCGACGTGAGTGTGCCATGAAGTTCCCCGGATGCGAGAGAACCCTACGTTATTAATGAAAACTGATAATTTATAATGAATAGATTATGATAACGATGATGACGACGATGACAATGCAGATAAAATAATGATGACCATGATTATGTTGACAATAACGATGACAGTCATAACGAAAATAAGTGGTAATGATGGTACTGATTAGGGTGATGACGCTAGTGATGGCGGTAACGATCACTATGGTGATTAATGCTGTTGAAGACAATAACGATGATTATGGGGACGGATGAAATTGGTCGTTGTGGTGAAGTGGTCGTCATGGAATAAATGTCGGTATTTGAGCCTATATATACATATAAGTTTTAATTGCTTTTTTTAAATTTGTTTCAGAGTTCAAGAAAGCCATGTTCAACGCCTGATACCAGGCCTTCTGCGGGACATTTGAGGAGAAACGTGCTGTCACACAGACAGTCACTTTATTGTGGCTAAAAATGCTTTGATTTGTTTCTTCTCGGTCACTTAGATTGGTAAAAAAAGGGATGTAACAATAAAGAAATTGAACTCAATCAACTTGCATTTAAACCCATGGGACTCAAGACCCTCCATAGCATCCTACCAGTTTACAAGTCCAAATCTAGTTGAAGTCTCAGGCTTCCGAATCCCGTTTCTCAGCCCGTTATTAATTCAAATCGTAGCTCCCAGCTATTACTGGAATTTCCATTCAATTTCATTGCATCTAATCAAGAGAATATCTAATAGAAGTATCAAAAGAGCAATTACTGAAAAAAATCGCTCAGATTTAATCGAATCGCAGATGCAAGGAAACAAAAAGATTGTTATATACTTTCACTCAACAAAACGAGCATTGTGATTGGTTGATTCTTGGTCGCGTGCCCCTGATCAAATTCAAATTTATCCCGAACGGGATACAATTGCGCAGTTGTTGCCCGCGCGCCGAATACAACAACATGTTTTTGCCATATGATTGTTTAAGGGAAAGTCTAAATATATACGAAAGCACTTAATGTATGGTCCCTCGGGAAACTGGTCAATTTTGTTTTCCGTCGAGTCCTAATGTTTCCTGAGACGAAGTCGAGGAAAACATCAGGACTCTCGGGGGAAAAAAAAACTAACTGTTTCCCTCGGGACCAAATATTAAGTATATATTAGTCAGCAACGACCCCTGCTCGCTCTAGCTATTTATCCATTCGAAAATGCAAGATAATTTTTCTGTTATATCAACTGAGTTGATAAATGTAAATTGGCCATCGAAAGTTTCTAGAACTGCCTAGATGTAGGGAAAGACGCAGACTGTCATATATTTCCTTTCCCCGCATCTAGGCATTTCAGAAAGCTGCAAAACTCTAGAACAAAAATATATCTTTAGATGGTTCTCTTAAACTACGCGGTATCCTCAAACACTTTTCAAATCAACTCGTTCCCACCAAAAGTGTATCTCTATATTTCTGTTTATAAACTACACACAACCCACAATCCCATTATTCGCTCTGAAGAAGGGCTAACGTTCGACACGTCAGCTTTGGGAACTCGGTAACCAATTTACATAATCAACTTAGTTGATAAAGCCAAATTATCTTTTGCTACCCACTCCTTCCCCAAGCGACGTAGTACCACAGTTTCTTTAGAACTTTCCCTCTTTATTCACACGAAAAAACATCTGCTTTGAGTAAAGTTTTAAAGGTTGTGTTATTATCAGAACTGTAATTTTTTGTATTTATTTAGCAGTTAAGTATTAGAAATACTGTTAAGCGTTGTAAGTAGTGTATTTTCAGTTTTTGTTTGGTAGTGTTTACTTTTTCTTTGTTAGTTTAATGATTGTTTAGTTAAGTAACCATCGTTAACGATGTTTGAAACCATGGTAAGTAATGTATACAGCAGTACACATCAGTTTGCTTTACACTTGCGTGTTTTTTTTCAGCAAAGTGCAATTAAAACTTTTAGAAAGGCCATATAATTTAGTTTTAACTACTAAGAATATATCTAGCTAATAATGCTAACATTGTTCGATTGCACAGAACGGCCTGATGAAAATATATTGCAGTGGGAATATCAAAATGTTTTCGAATTATAAGAATAAATGATTTGTTTAAGAAAACAAAATATATCATATGTTGTAGATTTAGCTTCAATCTCTGCGAAATTGAGCCAGAAAATATGGGTGCTTCCTATTTGAAAGGAAAACCTTAAATGTTGCAGCGTCGCCAGCTGAAAAAAATGATAAGATAAAGGAAATATGCCATTAGAATGCGTTTTTCATTTTGTTTGAGAAAGAAATCTGTTCCTTTTCAGAAACATCAATTCTCATTATCACCATAAGTAAGAGGGGATGCTAATTGCTGTAAACAATGATTCTCTTTGTTCCACAGTAGTGCTAAAGTAATTGAAAAGAAAGAAGAGGGTGTTTACTTTTTGAACACCTTTCATTCAAAATCAATCTACCCTAAGAGAACTGGTTAAACAAAAATATTGAAATGTAGTTATATTTAAACCTCTTTGTTATATTCAGAAAAAATGCTATAAATCTGTAGTCACATGGCTTTATTCACATGCATTTCTTTCTCAGCCAAGGTCACTTCGATTTCCACAGCAAAGGTCAGTGTTCATTTTTTAAAAGTGATTTTTAATTATTTCGCATTTTCGGGTCCCAACTTAAAGGTCCTTAATGTACATGGATTACGTAAATATCAGAAATTCCACTTATCGCAATATTAGCCCTGATGTAAATTTAAAATCATGCTGATAAAAATGCAATCTGTTTTAGCTTTCTTTGATACTTAAATTTTGTTCAGTTGTGGGTTTCCTAGCTTGGAAAACTTTGGTCCATTCAAGCTGATTAAGAGAAATGAAGGACATAACGATATGGATCCTGTTGATGTCTGCTGTGGGAACAACGATGGATGCAGCATCGGTAATGATACAAGTCTTCTCTTGCTCTTTAAGTTTCAAAAATTCGTCTTCCCGTTAGAACCAATTCTCCATGTAAGAGGGTCTCATGGAGTTCATCGTTCGCCGCAAAACGGTAAAATTATTGGCAGCTGGGCGTAAAATTTTAGAAATCTTAAGAGTTAGTGAAATAGAAAGTTAACCATGAATTTTTTTCTTTGATTGGAACGAAAAGAAAATAACCTTTAGCAATCATCCCATTGAGAACCTAACGTAAGAACATATCTATTAAGCAAACAGTTTCTTCATTCTGCCTCTTCGGTTCGCTAAAGATTCTGAAAAATACGAATGAAAGCGACAATCGCGACTAACTCTTCGAATTCTCTAAAAGGATTCGGATTTTATTTATTCCATGCTCAAGACAAAGTTAACTGTGTTCTTTTCAAAGAAAATTGTTTGCTTTCACTTTGGGAATTCGAAGGTAACAATAAAAAAGTTCATTAAAAGAGTGAATAAGGTATGAGAAAAAGGCTTTGATTTGCAATTTTTTTTAGAAGACTATACAAACATAGATGAAAGAGGTTTCAATAGATTAACAAGGGCATTTGTACTCTTTAATTGTCATGAAAAGTGTGTTTAATGGCTCATTAAGAGGATTGTTACACTAGAATAGTGTACACTTGCTTCACCCTTGTTACTGAGTTACCTTGATTGTGTAGAAGGCATTTTTTTTCTCACCTATTTCTTTCTCTATCACCAGAATAGGATCATTTTAATAAAACATTTACATGCATTTTGAAAGAGCACAAAAAAATATTTTTGACGACAGAAATTACGTCAATTATTTACAATTTCTTATAATTCATCGATTCGACCAGGTTATAGAAAAATTATTTCCAGATATAAGGGATAGTGTTATACAAACAGCATTTTAGGCAAGATTTTCATGCAATGTCATACTCCACTATGTAAACAGTTATACAAGAAAAGAAAACATGGCAATAACAACAGGTTAACTTTGGGACGAGTGCTTTACTCCGGAATAGTATGCCGTGAATTTAAACAACAAAAAAAAGGCATCTCGAGAGAATTTGTATTTCATAAATGAAATGTTTTGTATTACAGGTAAAATTCAGCGGTGTGCAAGATGACGGTAAGATCATAACTGTGTTCACTAGATCTTTTCAAGGATCTGTGTTACTTTTTAAGTACGGTTAATCAATGATTAGTGACAGTAGTTTATGCAACTTAGGTGACCAAGGAAATGTCAATGTAATTAAGGATTTTGGCGTAAGAGCTGATTTTATCCTTTATTTCAACAATGCGTTTTGCTAGCAGAACATTCGATTGCAACAACTTTGATACCCGGAAAGCTCCCTCCATGAACGGTGAGCCCAATCGCTTTGTGGGAAATTTTCGCACAGTTTCATAATCAGTGCATAATTTTTTTTCAGTATTCATGGCAAGTCTTTGTTCATGATAATTCGTTTCTTTCCAAAAAAGTGTGGGTGGTTTTTATCATTTACCGTGCGCAACTACATGTGGCATCATGTATATGTGTACTTATAAGGCCGTTGGATGCCACCGTTCATTGCGGACACTTTTTCAACGTCTTTGCGATGGAGTGTATACTAGACAAAACATATCATGTGCATTTGTACTCATAAAGCTATCGGATCCCATCGTTCATCGCCAAAGCTTTATAGGAGTCAACGTTTTCGCAATTGAGTGTATACCAAACAAAACATTATTCTAAGTATGAGTCTTGGCCCTGTTTTAAGACAAATGTATTTATGCATCTTCAAAATAGCCAACTGCTAGATGTGTATATTTTTGTGTTAAAGTTCTCATCTACTGCAAATGGAGTTTGAATTATCTTAATCGATTGAAAATCCAGGAGAATGCAAAGAACCTCTTGGCCTTGAAAGGGGTAATGTCACCGACGGACAGCTCAGTGCCTCTTCGGAATGGGACGGGAACCATAGCCCCAGGCGCGCCAGACTAAATATTCAAAAAGAAGGCAGCCAGCGAGGCGCTTGGTCCTCTCGCAGGAGGGACGGCAACCAGTGGCTCCAGATTGATCTCTTTGACGAAACCGCCAAAGTGACCGGTGTTGCCACACAAGGAAGGGCTGACAATAACCAGTGGGTCACTAAGTTCAGGCTTCAGTACAGCAAGGACGGAAAGAACTTTCAGTTCTACAAAAGGAAAGGACAATCTGCGATCGAGGTGAATCGACTCGTAGAAGTACATCCAATATGACAGTCATAGGCCATGTTACACGAAACTATTTGTTTTACAGCTTGTCTCACAACTAATAGACCTAGAACAACCAGTTCAGAGTCGCAAATTTTACTTACGTTGCCATCTCGGGCTCCGTGAGACCGCTATCATTTCTACGTGAACATCTGCAATGTACAGGTAACGTTATTCCAGGCCAATAATGTCTCATTTACTCCTCCCAAACTTCTTCACAGTCCATTAAAACGTATGGAAACGACCTGACCTATATCCAGCCCACTTAAATATTTAGGCATGGTCCATAGCGCAAATTAACGCATTTTATTTTTCACTGATTTCTCAGGAATTTACTGGTAACAAGGACAGAAACACCGTGGTTAGGCATGACCTAAATCCACCAATTACGGCACGTTTTATCCGTTTTCAACCTGTCAGTTGGTTTGCACATATTTCCATGAGAGCGGAGCTTTATGGCTGCTTAGCCGGTAAAAAATATTGTTTAACTGCTTATCCTTTTTGTTAATCTTTGCGTCTAAAGCGCGCGATCTGCTTGACCCAAGTGTGCTTTGCGCAAAAGTTCACTTAAGTATGCCTAAACCTTTGGCTCTATCATTGTATGGAATGAACAGTCCAAAGTAAGACAGCGATATCAGAACGCAGCCTATGAAATAGATTAAAACACTTACAGTGGATCGGAGGTGAGGTGCACTTGTTACGAACAGATGATTTGAACAATACAAAACCACTAGAAGTACAGGCCCAAAGTTTGTCCTAGTGACCTCTGAATGCGAGATCAAACAATTCATTGTACCTCTCTTCACCCAGCGGAGGGCGGGGGGGAGAGAGGGGGTACTGATTGTCGACTTTTTATGGAATTTATGCATTGCAATTTAAGTAATATTCAAGTGATATTCAGTGTATAACCATTTATGCATAAAATACAGGAAAATGTATCGAACCCCTCGGTGTGCAAAGCGGTGAGATCTCCGACGAACAACTTTCTGCCTCTTCGGAATGGGACAGAAACCATGGAACCAAACGTGGCCGACTTAACATTGCGAAACAAGGGTCGCTGCGAGCTGCATGGTCTTCTCGCAGGAATGATCAAAACCAGTGGATACAGATCGATCTTCGCACTCATTACACGAGAGTGACAGCCGTAGCCACACAAGGAAGAGGCGACTGGGATCAGTGGGTCACCAAGTACAGGCTGCAGTACGGCCATGATGGAGAGAAATTTGAATTTTACAAGGAGCCAGGACAGACTGCACCCAAGGTAGAAGGAAGTGTAGATTTATGATAATCACTTTGTCACCACAGTCATCAAGATTTGAGAGGAGGCTATAAAGCTTCTTAAATGATTTGGTTTTATCAACTTAAATAATAATTAACATCAGTTTTTAATCAGTTGCCGAAGTGGTAGTGGCTAGTATTAGATATTTATTGTGATTCCCGAGTCGACGAGGTAAATATCCACCGCTTGCCTCACCCAATGAGGTTAATAGCTGTTTACGTGTATACTTGAACAGTGGAAAATATGGTACCAAAAGATGATTGTAACTCGTGCAAAAATAATTCCTACAGCGATTGTAAGATTTCCGGGCACAATTCTCTCGTAAATTGTTCGGAGATGAATGGCAAAGGATATCCCGTGTTTGAGTAGCCAATCAAAGCGTGCCTCTAACACTATTCAATGTTCTAGCAAATACTTATACAAATTGGCCACCGTGAAGAGTTTCTAGAGCTGTTGTTTAGGGCGCTAGTTTCTTCAAAGGAAATCATGGAATTGTGGATTATGTGCGATAAATGTATAGAAAAATGGAGCTATGCTATTGTTGGGAACATGGTAACGTGAAAGCATCAGAGTAAATAAGCTGAATGTAAAACTTTCGTTGATACCGTAGGGATTAAGGGCGCCGATTTTAAAGATAATTTTTTATTCTAGAGTCTTGCGGCTTTCCGAAATGCCAAGATGTAGGGAAAGGCCGCTGACTGCCATATGCATTTGCTGGTTGACTGATTTGGGAGATAAAGTGTCTGTCGACTGGTTTGGATGCGTTACTTTCTATGTTAACAGTACCAAGGGGTATAATATAAGAGATTTATTCCTGTGCTCATTATTTTTGTTTAGGATTTTGCGGGAAACAAAGACAAGTACACCATTGTTTTTCACAAACTAAACAAGCCATTCTTTGCACGTTTCATTCGATTTCTTCCTCGGTCATGGCGTTCACATATCTCCATGCGGATGGAGGTGTATGGCTGCTCAGGTACGAATCATCTCATCTTTTTAAAAGTAGTTTCTCCTCCTTTATATGTGGGAGAAGCGATGGCCTTATGGTTAGTGCGCTGGACTCGGGGTCGAAAGCTCCTTGAAAGACTTGGTCGGGCCAATATTTATGAGTCGTGTTCTTGGGCAAAGCAATTTAATCTACCTTTCACAGTCCCTTTCCCTCCACCCAGGTCTGGGTCGTTCAAAGCTGGGTTAAGATATCTCAGAGTTGGTGTTAAGTCTTATTCAGCGTAATTCTTGTAGTCTGCAATTTATTAATTGGATGCCCTAAAAGGAATAAAGAAAATTAACCGAAAAAATTCCTTTTGAGCATAGGAATAAAAAACCCGGATTATAGTTTAACCCTTGGTCAGCACTAGTCCCTTCGCCAGATCGCCTCATGCCAAGGAAACCGTCTTTTCTTACCTCACTCAAAACGCTTTTTACGTGGGTAAAGAATGGAAAAATTTATACTGTGCCTTAGAAAACATAGCTAATCAAAATACTGGAACGCCGTTGTATACTCGACGATATTACACCGAGCCTTTTCATTGTGCTGTAAAATCTCCTCACCAAAATTTTGAAAGCCACATCCTACATTTTCCAAGAATGTGACCACAATACTTTTATTTAAGTTCACTCAGTGTATTCAGTATTGTGAGGTTTTATCACTTAAAGCTTTCCCTAAGATCACGAACTGAATCATTTCGATGGCGGAGAGCGGAAGCAAGTAGGTAAACACGGAAACACAAGTGACTCGTGGGACATTTCGTGATATATCACTCGAAATCACTGTATAATAAAGTACTTTCACGAATGCTCTTCGCTCTCTAGCTCTGGTAGAAAACATGGACCAGAATGGAGATGGATTTGCCAGCCAAAATGAGGTGGAAAGCTTTGGTTTAAATTGGAAAGGTAGTGTGGAACAATTCGATCTGAACGGTAAGTGTACATGTATCTCTCTATCTTTTGTTATGTGGAAGATCTTTAAGTGAACGTAAATGAGAATATCAAAGAAAAACTTACCTTTAGAATAGTTTTTATAAGGTGGCAAGGGGACTCTACCTTTCTTGTATGGAAACAATCTTGCTGTTATCAGTATTTAAACTAGCTAAATAGGTATGTACTACCCCAGAGTAAATGGTTTTGTGCTGTTTTGGTCGGAAAATGGGTATAGATTTTGTCAATTTTGGTATCGAATTGGATATGATTTCAAGGGAATGAGGAGAACGTGTGAATGCAGTTTCAAGTTTAAACAAGTAATGGAGAGAGAAAGGTCATAATAATAATGATGAAAAAGAGTATCTTTTTAATGGATGATTTTGGCTGTGTCATGATCAAAATTACATTTCTATCCATACAGACAACTGTAATATTTTTATGACAACTCCCCCCTCCCCTCATTGGCAGGTAATTGATAGTCAATTTTCAACAGTCCCCCCTTATACTCTGTATAAGAGTATAATCTAGCCCCCCTCCGTTCCCCATAAAAACCATTTGATTCCCCCGCCAAAATCCACCACCCCTCTCCCCTCCCGGGGATAAATAAATAATGACTGGCCTTTGAGGTCTAAATTGAAATGCTCAGAGTTTATCCTTTCGTCCATCTTTCATTGGCTCCTTATCTATTTCTTTGATTTTTTTTTATCTGTATACGTAACTATCAAAACATTTGTTTTTTTTTCACAGCTGATGGCAAACTTAATCTGGAAGAGTCCAAAATTATGACGTCCAAAAGTCCATATGATTTGAAGCAAATCATGTGCCATTTCGAAGCCACTGATACGAACAACGATTTATACGTGACGGCTGGGGAGCTGAAGAAACGATTTGAGTACTTAAAATACGACATCTCTCTTAATGGCGTTACAGAATTTATTAAGAAGGGAGACGTTGATGAACTGGATAATAAATTCAGTTACAACGGTGAGGATAGAATTTATCACATCGGCATCATAAGTAGGGAGATAATACAGCTGTGCAGTACACTGTATTCCACGACGTCTATTTGAATAATGCATTCTTCGTTGTCAAAACGAAACACATTTTCCTGATGGTAGAAAACACGCGAAGACGTACAAATTAAACAAGAGGGAACGTGAAAGGTCAAGGATGGGCCGAAAGAGTGAAAATAGATAAAAGAGAAAATAATGGGAAAAAAACCTCTGTCCTAAAACTGTTTCTTAGTGGAACAGATTGTGGATGTTTATCTTGAAAGATTTTAACGCACAAACTGAGACATGGCGATAAAAGAGACCTTGAGATTCAAGGACGACTTCGACTACAAACTCAGTACCTAATTAATTTTCAGGGTTTTGACGAATGCCATGGAAATAGATGCATCTGTATCTTATGAGACTTCATTGAGTTTTTTATAAAACAAAGTTTGCTCAGCGTAACTCATTATTGTTGGTTAAAGATAAACTTGTTCAGATTGAAAAACTATGAAACGGTTGGCGTTCGGTATTTTATTACCATTACATCTCAAAATATTGACGGCTATTGCTTTTTGTTTAACCGCTTGAATGGGTTAAGTTCGTGAGCTCCCCTTTATCACAATGTAAACTTCGGTGCTCATCGAGGAATCTATATGGTCTGAAATATGTGGCGGCCTCGTCAGTCCTGCATTTTATTCTAATCAAAAAAGTTTATCCTTTCGTCCATCTTTCGTTGGCTCCTTATCTATTTCTTTGATTTTTTTTTATCTGTATACGTAACTATCAAAACATTTGTTTTTTTTTCTTTAGAGTTCAGCTTGGCCATGTTTGGTGTTTGATACCCACACTCTTCTGTGAACCACGGTAGAAGCATCAAGTCAAATAGGCCAACGAAACATAAGCAACTGTTTTATTTGTTCTTGGGAAAGGTTGACGAAATATGTCTCAGTCCCATAGTGTGATGATAGTGGGATGTCTCAATAAAGGAAGTAGTTAAATCACTTATCTAGTTCGTGTTTGATTCTATATGTTAGAACATGGAACATCGTAATCAGTTTATTGTTCCTTTTTATGGAGATCTGTCTGATAACTTTTTCCACGTAAAAATGTGAAGCGACCGTTGGTTCTTAGTATCACCGTGAGCAAAAAGGATGTTAATTAAACCTTAATATCCTTTGTTCCTCAGTTGAGCTAAAGCCATTGTTTACTTTTTGAGCACACTTCATTCAAAGTCGTCTAATGCCAAGGGACCTTTTTTATTCACTTTGCCGCTTTGTTCTATCAAGAAAAAAAAAATGATATCAAAATTATGATCACATAGCTGAATTCATATTCAAATCTCTCGCGGCCAAGGTCACTTCGAATTCCAAAAGAAAGGTGAGTTCTCTTTTATTTCAAAGTAATTTTAGAATAATTTCGTATTTTTGGGTCCCCATTTCAAGTTGCCGTTACGAAAGATTATCCTGCTTATTCTTTGTACATTGATTACGTAAATGGTAGTAATTTTATTTTAGCCATATTAGCCACGACGTTAAGCTTGAATGGAGCCGATAAAAATGCAGCTTTTCTAACCTTTATATGATATCTAACATTTGTTAAGTTGTGCCTTTACTTTTCCCTCTGCAAGGTGCTTGGTCTTCCCGCAGGAATGATCAAAACCAGTGGATACAGATCGATCTTCTCACTCGTTACACGGCAATGAGGGGCGTAGCCACACAGGGAAGATACGGCTGGAATCAGTGGGTCATCCAATATAGGCTGCAGTACGGTAATGATGGAGAGAGCTTTGAATTCTACACTGTAGGACAAAGTGCAATCAAGGTGAAAGAAATTTTCAAGTTGTGTTAATCACTTTGTTACTAAAACCATATTTATCACAAATGCATAAAAATTCTAACTTTTTTTCCTTCTTAAGGTGTAGGAGGTCGTATGTCTTCTAAGCCACGGGCGTGATCATGCGGCTTAAAATACAGACGGATTGATCATGTAAATTTAGAACAGTACCATGCTGTAGGATGTAAATGAGATTTATTCTCATGGCTATCAATTTTATCTAGGATTTTCGAGGAAACAAGGACCAGAACACTATTGTTTTTCATAAACAAAGGACAGTCTTCGCACGCTTCATCCGAATTCTTCCACAGTCATGGTATGGACATGTCTCCATGCAGATGGAGTTCTATGGTTGCCTAGTTAGAAGAATTATCTTAAATTTAAAGTAGTCTCCCTTACCTCAGGGAACAGTAATTATTTATCGTCAGGGAGGGGAGGCTCAGTGGTTTTTGGAGAGATCGCATAGTTGCATAGTTTTCAGGGGGAAAAGGAGGAGAAAGGTTGGTCGTCGCTTACAGAGTGTAGAAAGGGTTCCTAGAAAATTACTGCCAATGTGGGAGATTATAGGAATACTGCAGAGCTTTATGGGCGGATCAGGAGAACACAACCAAAGTCTACCGACAACCCCCCTCCCCCCCTCCTCCCTTTCCCCCCACCAAAACCCAGGTCCCTTACACACACAAAAAAGATAATAATGATAACAAAAAAGATAGAAATACATGAAAATAATTATAACATGTCATAGAATAAACAGCCAATAAGAATACAGGGACGCCGTTATATTCGACGATATTACACTCAGCCTTTTCATTGTGCGCCACAATCTACCCGTCGAAATGTTAACGTTGAAAACCTTATCCTTTATTTTTGGCTATTACATTTTTGTAATGCAAGTGATACATCTTGCATGTGATATATTTTGCACGTAATACATTTTGTATGCGATACATTTTTGCACGTGATACATTTCATACGTGATACATTTTGGCACGTGACACATCTTGCATGTGATACATTTTTGCACGTGACACATCTTGCATGTGATACATTTTTGCAAGGACACATCTTGTATGTGATACATTTTTGCACGTGACCATAAGACTTTTAGTTGTAATTTATTCACTATATTTTGTGTTTTTAGGATTGGTGTAACTTTTGGTGTAGCAATTTTTAAGATTTTTTAAAGATCGCAGACTATAGGAAGCCGATTCAAACCCATTTTACATTTGATGCACTAACTTCGTGTGAAAATAGGTGGGTAAACTCGAAAACACAAGAGACTCATGGGAAATTCCATGATAAACCACGTGAATCTAGTGGGTTTTCATTATTTCTTCATATTTATTATATTTTTTCACCTAATATGAGAAGGCCCTGTAGCAACTCCAAATTGTATTTATAAATTGGATTTAGCTTGGGTTCCAATGGGAACAAGATTGAAAGAAGTGTATTGGGTTAATTTTTTTACAACTATTAAAATGACCCATTACTTAAATTGAAAATTTAATGATCGACTGGCTCCTTGATAGTCATATTCCTTATCTGATGGGTGATTAAAAACCCTTCAGTGAAAATTAAAAAATAATAATGAAAAAAAAAAGCGAATGCTCTTTGCATTCTAGCTCTGGTGGAACACATGGACTCGAACGGAGATGGATTTTCCAGCCGAGGTGAAGTGGAAAGCTTTGGTTTAAAGTGGAAGGGTGATGTAGACGATTTCGATCTGAACGGTAAGAGATCTTTTGTTATAATGAAGATCTTAGAATGAGCATATATGAGAATAACTGAAAACGATTTAGCTTCTAGGAATAATGTCCGTAAGTTAGGGAATTCAATCTCGCAGAGCGATTCTTTTTTTTAAGATGAAGAAGATTTTCTGTTATCGATCGCCTCAAAAAATAATGAGGCTGACGTTAAAAAACTAGCTAAACAGGTATATACTGTCTCTTAATGCTCCTTTGTAGTATTTTGTGTGGAAAATGGGTATAAAATTTTGGCCATTTTTTTCTCAAATTGGAACTCATTTTGAAGGAAACGAGATTATATAAATCCTTTAAAGTTCGAAACGAAATAACGGAGAAAGAAAGGTAATGTGATATAATATATTCTTTCAGCTTAACTCCTTGATGATTTTTACCAGTACTTTACACTGACCCCAATACAAAGCTTGATTACTCTATCAAAAATGTATTGTTGATTCACAAAAAGAGCAAAATCCTGATAAGCTAGGTCTGAAAATGAGTGTAGTTTATTGATGCAAAGACTGGAAAATGGCATTTATAGAGTAAATGTATGGTAATGTGGGTAGAAACTGCCTTTAAGAATTCCTAATAGTACTCCTCCCTCCTTCATATTCAGTTTTTAATCTGCAGTTCGCATATATAATAATAATAATCAACTTTGTTTAACAAGGATTACACAAAACAGTAAATACACTGAAGAACCAGTGGTCCTCGAATATGACTTTCATATCTTCACAGTCATTGCTCTATCACTTCACGGGTTTATTATTAACTAACATAATTATTACTTCCAGTTGGCTTGTTAGCTCAACTGATACAGCACTGGTTTCACAGAGGTCAAGGGTTCAAATTCCGTACAGGCCTGAGGCGAAGATCGCTTTCATATTTATCACTTTCACTGTTTAACTGTTCAAACCTGCGCTGCTGTAGAGAGTAAAAGATAACTTTGTTCATTAAAATTTGACCACTGGACATGTTACGTGAAAAGCTCAGAAATTACTATGATACTTTTCTCCACAGCTGATGGCAAACTCAGTCCTGAGGAGTCTAAAATCATGACTTACAAGAGTATATATGATGTTAAGAAAATCTTGTGTCATTTCAAAGCCACTGATACGAACCATGATTTATTTGTGACGGCTGGAGAGCTGAAAAAACGATTTGAAGACTTCAAATATGACATCACTCCAAACGGCCTAGCTGAGTTTATTAAGGAGGGCGACATTGATGTGGCGGATAATAAATTCAGTTACCACGGTAGGGAATTTATGATGTTAGTATCATAAATGGGGAGATAATTAACAGAGCTCTGCTGTGGCTGAGTGGAACAATATCTGTGGGAAGAGTGCATACTTCTTATTGCTCATTGTGAATCAAACTATACATTGCTAGAGGCGGAAAACACTTGTACCTTTTAACTCACATGATCTGATTGTTAATTCTCCCCTCTAGCTGCTACACATTCCCTTGTAAATCAGTCACGAGAATTTGGTGTTAGATCAAGACTACTAACGTCTGCCTGATAAGTTTAAGTATTCTCATTACCTGTTTGCTGGATAATGTGTGGATTTTATAGTGAGAAGTTACATGTTAATCACTTAAGGGAGTTGAAGACCCGCAAATTAAACAAAAAGGAACGGAGGGGGGGAGGGATAAGGATATGAAGGAGTGAAACGTACAGTAGATGATAATCTTGAAAGTTTTTTATACTCAGACCGTGACACATTGCATAAAACTGACGCTATAATCGTGACCTCGAGATTCAAAGATGAATTTAACTACAATGCGAGTAAAATATAAGATTTTTAGTTTTGAGCGACTACCACGGAAAACGATGTTGTGAAACCCCACTGAGCTCTTCATGAGAAACAAAGGTTGCAAAGCAAAGGTTTGCGTTTCGGTAGTTTGTTGTTACCACTGCCATACGTTTGCAAATGTCGCCTGCTGCTCCTTATTTTGATCGCTAAATTGAGGTAGGTTCACCCACTATTTCACAAACTGGCGGAAAGTATTCTCATCGTTTAGGAATCTTGTGGTCTCATATATATAACGGCTACGGCAGTCCTGAGGGAAAATTAAACGAAACTTTTTCCTGTCGGCCATTTATCTTTGCCCCCATTACTAACTCTTTGATTGATTATCTTTATACGTAAGTAATAATACTTTCTTTTTTATCTTTTAGAGTTCAGCATGGCAATTTTTTGGTGTTTAATATCCAGATTCTTGTGTGAACCTCGGTAGAAGCATCAAGTCGAATAGGCCCACGAAACATAAGCAGCTGTTTTATTTGGTATTAAGGAAGTTTGATGAAATGTTTCGTCATGTAGAATTCCAATTAAGGGATATCTCAATAAAGAAAGTAGTAAAATCATTCACCGAGTTGCTAGTTAATTTTGCACGCTACATAATGGTAATTGAACTGAATGGATTACAATTTGGGCTAAAATCACACGCGTGAATTTAAAATCATAAGTATGACTTAAGACAAAAATTGCTCGACACGAAGTTCGATTATTACTTTAGTACATTCATTTTGAAATCGCCCAAATACAGGACTTGGTCAGTTCAAATATTTCATTGATACAGTACTGAGCCGGTTTGAAATTAAATTCATTCATTTTTGGGGGGGGGGAAATAAGAGTTTTGGCGAAAGTTGTAAAATTTGCCACATGATACTCTTTGCCTTTCATTTTCCTGCAATTTGACTGGTTACTTTAAACAAGCCTTGAAATCTGACTGGTTGTTTTGTTTTTGGTGTAGCCTCCTCATTGGCTGCGAAAAAGATGCAATTTAAAGCCAAAAATGGTGCGATTCGTGAATAAATCGCGCCAATTAGAGCCAATCAAATTACAGGTACCACCAGTGATTTTAAACTTTTAAAAATTGCAATTTTTTTTTTTTTTTAACTCCATTTGATATCGATTCGGTATGAATTTTCCGCACAACATTATACTTCTTTTTTTTTTTCTTTATTCGATTCTTTGAGTTGCCACTGCCACTGAGGCAAGCACGAATAACAGTTCTATTACTTTAAATTTTGTCTCCAGTCTTCGTAGAAATCGGTGAAACAGAATCTTACACTGACGGAGCTGTCAAGTTACATCCGCTCTTACAATCACTCGCTTCTCATCGAATTAGAAAAGAAAAAAATGCGAAAAGATCAACAAGTAAGAGCATTTCTTAACCGCATGAGACTGATATTGAGGCCATACAAATTGAAAATTTTTATACGAGGAGTAGCGTTCCGGTATTGTAGTAACACTGCAACTCAAAATATAGATGGCTAATGCTTTTTTTCGTTAGCGCTTGAATGAGTCAAGTTCGTGGCCTCCCCTTCATCACGATGTAAACTTTGGTGGTCATTGTAAAAAATCCTTTTACGAAAAAAGAGACTAGAGTCACGTGCCGCGCGTGAATAGAAAAAGAACACGAAGAGGAAAGAGGAAGAAAAAAATTGTAACTTGAAATTTAGAGAAACGAAAGAGATTTTCTTTAGTCATCGAGGAATCTATGTGGTCTCTAATATATGGCGGCCTCGGCAGTCCTGTATTTGATTTTTAATCAAAAGAAGTCTATCCTCTTGTCCATCTTTTATTGGCCTCTTATCTGTTTCTTTGATATATATCTGTATACGTAACTATTATACCTTTGTTTTTTTTCTTCAGAGTTCAGCTTGACCATATTTGCTGTTTGATAGCCAGACTCTTCTGTGAATCACGGTAGAAGCATCAAATTAAACAGGCAGATGAACGTAAGCAGCAGGTTTGTTGGTTCTTGGGAAAGTTTGACGTAATATGTCTCAGTCACATAGTGTGATGATAGTGGGATGTCTCAACAAAGGAAGTTGTGAAATTACTTATCTAGTTCGTGTTTGATTCTATACGTTACAGCAAGGATCATCGTAATCAGTATTTAGTTCCTATTCATGGAGATTTGTCTGATAATTTTTCCGAATAAAAATGAGAAACGACAGTTGGTTCTTAGTATCACCATGGGAAAAAGAATGTTGATTATACCTTAATTTCCTTTGTCTCACAGTTGAGCTAAAGCCATTGTTTACTTTTTGAGCACTCTTCATTCAAGAACGTCTCATCCCAAGGGACCTTGTTTATTTATAGTGACACTTTGCCCCTTTGTTCTATTAAGACAAGAAAATGTTATAAAAATTGTGATCACATGGATGTATTCATATTCATTTCTCTCGCGGCCAAGGTAACTTCGAATTCCAAAAGAAAGGCGGGCGCTCTATAATTTCAAAGTAAGTTTAGAATAATTTCGTATTTTCAGGTCCTCATTTCAAGTTGCCGTTACCAAGGATTATGTTACCTGTTCTCTGTACATCGATTTCGTAAATATAAGAAATTTTTTATTTGGCGATATTAGCCACGATGTCAAGTTTAAATCGAGCCAAGAAAAATGCAGATTTTCATACCTTTATATGATATCTAACATTTGTTAAGTTGTGCTTCTACTGGTCACTGAATCAAGCATTTACATTTGCGCAGGGATTGTTTTGTCCAATCGAGCTGAGTGGAAGAAATGACAGACATAACGATATGGATCGTGTTGATGTCTGTTTTGGGAACAACGATGGATGCAGCATTTGTTCCGGTAATGATAAAGGTTTTCTAAAAATTTTTGTATCTAAAATATTCGTCTTCCCAATTGAATTGATTCCCAAGGTCAGAAGACATCCATCACGTAAACAGTTTTTCCCATTTTGCCGCTTTGCTGTGCTAAAGATTCTGAAAAATACGAGTGACAGCGACAATTGAAACTATAGCACTTACAATGGTCAAAAGTTATTCGGTTTTTTTCCTATTCCATGCTCAAGGCAAAGGTAACTAAATTAATTTCAAGAGAAAATTGTTTGATTTTGTTCTAGGAAGGTAACAGAAAAAAATAGCACTGCATCGATTAAGAGGAACAAGCTTTGATTTGCAAAATTTTTTCAAACAAACAGCACAGAATAGAATAAATAAATTTCAATAGATAATTAAAGGCTCCTCGCAGTTATTTGTACTCTTTACTTGTTATGTAAATCATGTTTGACGGTTTATTTAAGGGAACAATAGAGGAATAGTATATACTTGTTTTCACCCTTGTTAGTAAATTATCTTTATTGTATTATGTTTCCTCGCCTTCCCAGATTTTGTTCTTTGTTGCCAGGGTAGGATCCCTTAAATTGAACATTTGTACGCATTTTCGTGTTACTGAGTGAGCACTAACACTCTTTTTGCATTCTTATTGATAACGACAGGAGTTGTCAGTCATTTGCAATTCAGTGCTTCTTTTTCCTCAAGCAGCCATGTTATTGAAAACTATTTCATGGTATGAGGGATAGTGTTGCACAAACAGCGTTTGAAAAGATTTCCTTTAAACCTCGTACTTCACTATGCAAACAGTTATCTGATAAAAGTAAACAACGTCGAAAACAATAGACAACCTTTGGGACAAGTGCTTTGTTGTAGAATAGTTGGGGGGTAATCATGACGGAAATTTTTCCGCGTTTTTCACTGCCGGCTGTGAACTTTAAAAATAGAAAAAACCGCATTTAGTTTATACGTGAAATATTTTGTGTTACAGGAAAAATTCAGAGATGAGCAAGATGAAGGTAAATACATTACTACCCTCTATATAAATCTCCAAAGACTTTGGAGGAATTTGGGGAGGATGACATGATTTTAGGGGATAAAGCTTTATCGAGACAAGTCACTAATTCTCCAACCCTCCCATCTCATATTTCAACACGTACCATGAAAACAACGTCCAATCAGAACATACCCAATCATTGCACTTCATAAACATAAGGCAATTTTTCACGCGCTTGAATTGTATTCTACCAATCATATTCCATTTTGCCACAGTTTGCTTCGATCCATCACGTGTCGTTACCTTGTGATCAATCCACATTATCACTTAATCAAACCCGATTGTCCCACCCCACTGAAAAAATTCACATGGTCCTCAGTACTACTGATAGTGAATTTTCCACGCAATTCTCCCGCGTTTTGACTTTTTCTACGAATAAAATTAGCTTCTGACTATCGTAGACTTAGCCCAATCGTGTGTTAATTCCTTGCAAACAACCTGCATTTTGTCACGTATTTCACACACAGGGGGCAAAGTTCAGATAGGCAACAACCAATCAAGGAGCCTTCTTTGAAGTATTATCCTTTTCTTCACTCATTCGAGATCGCAATATGTCTTTGCTTTGGTTCTATTGGATATAAAACAGAGTTGCAGTTTGCTTTTTGAAGTAAAATTACGTGGAATTATATTTTTTTGGCAACTAACTGTAGACAAATAATTATGATTTTCTCTCTGTTTGAGGAACGGCAGTAAATGTAGTCGGCTTTCGCAACCGTTATTTGGTCTCGTCACGCAACGCTGTCTCTCTCCAACTGGGAATAGATGGCGTTGTGTGACGAGACCAAACGACGGCTGCGGAGGAGACAACAGTAAGCGTGGCACCGATGCATTTCATTTCTGCTTAGAAGTATTCAGACAATAGAGACAATACCTGTGTGAGTTCAGATAAATGAGGTATTTTTTTTCTTTCTCTTAAGGTGAAGTAATGCAATATTTTCGTTCTTTTGAAAGTTGTGCTTTTTTTCTGCTCCAAAAATGAAAATGTAAGGTACACAATGTGTCTCATCGCAACCCATCCAGCCGAAAAAATCACTCTTGCATGCCTATGTTTTTAAAATCTGTCAGAGCTAAATGAATATATTTGGAAAAATGACTAATTAGAAAATACTACCAAAACTGTCATAGCTTCCCTGAATTTCACCATTACAAAAGGTCAGGCAGTATAATTTCCACAATGCGGCAAAGAAATTAGACACTTTATCGAGGAAAAGTAGAGATATCAAGGTATTTAGGCCGATCATTGAAATTTATCTGTCTGTCATTGGGGTGGTGTTGCCATGGTAACATCATTAATCAATAATTTGCATCCAAAATAGAAGCCTTATTGTATCGTTTGCTGAACTGGTAGATTTCTTGAGCGAAAACTTGAAGATAAACGTACCATGTTTCCTTTCGTAACTCGTGCTCTGAAGGGTGGTTGATTCGTGAATAGTCCAGGGAGTCACCTTAAGTAGATGGTCAATGATCAGCATGAATAATCTATGTAACTAGTGTGACGTAGAAATTGTGGCTGTAATTGTCAATTAGGCGCAACAGCCAGGTTATATTGAAAACACTGAAGTTCAAACTAGGGCCAAATGCAAAACATTGCTTGCTGAAATGCGTTTGTTTCGCATGAGAATAAAAACTTCACACAAAACCCTGTTTAGTAAAGAAGTTTTTGGGCATTTTGAGATTGGCCTTCTTGCCAGACAAGTGGAATTAGCTAACTGTAGCATTTCGTATCTATGATTTTAATCATCTATTCAAATGAAAAATTCAGGAGATTGTGATGGACCTCTCGGCCTCGAAAACGGTAACATCACCGACGGACAGCTTAGTGCCTCTTCGGAGTGGGACTGGAACCATGGTGCTAGACGCGGTAGGCTGAATGTACAAAAACAAGGCGGCCTGAGAGGCGCTTGGTCCTCACGCAGGAATGACGGCAACCAGTGGCTCCAGGTTGATCTCTTTGACGAAGATGCTCAAGTGACGGGTATCGCCACACAGGGAAGGGCTGACTGGAACCAGTGGGTCACCAAGTACAGGCTGCAGTATGCTGTGGATGGAGTGAACTTCCAGTACTACAAAGAGCAAGGACAATCTGCAATCAAGGTGGGTGCATACACCTTGTTTAATACGCGGGGATGTTTTGCGAGCCGCGTAGTATTTTCCGAGCCCAACTATATCTTTAACCAGTCTATAAAAACGCATGAAAGTGAACCTTTTGGAGTCCACTAGACTTCTACAGCATGGTCTTATAAGGTATGTTTATGCCTTTTTTTTTTTTATTACTCAGGAATTCACTGGTAACACGGACAGAAACACCATAGTTCGTTACAATCTGAATCCACCAATTACTGCACGTTTTATCCGTTTTCGACCTGTCAGTTGGACCGGACACATTTCCATGAGAGCGGAGCTTTATGGCTGCTTTTCCAGTAAGATAATAGCGTTTTAACATCCTTATTATTGATCTTTACTTCTGGAGGGTGTCAAAGGGTTAATTTCTTTCACGGATAACGGTTGATTTTTTGGCCATTTTGCGACGAACGATTAACTTCTTTCCTTCGTGACTGAAAAATAAATGAATAAATAAACTCATCAAACTTGTGATGCCTCGTCGTCACAGTAAGGTTTTTTTCAGATTTCCTTGAAATCCAGATCAATGAACCGTAATCTGAAATTAACCCACAATACCTTTTGGGGATGTCATGCGCACTTATTCGCTTTGTTTTCCCGACAACCTTTCTCGAAACAGCTGTATTATACAGAAATCAAGACAAGCTTTACCTGTTTGGATTAATTAACTCCCATCAAATTACTGTAAATAGTCTTTTTTAGATCAAGCTGGTGAAATCATCCTTATTAATATTACATATACATGTGACCTTCAATGTTGGTTATAACCATTTTTGTATCCATTTACAAAAAAAAAAAATAAATAAAAATACAGAATGTCTCAAGCCTCTTGGCGTGCAAAGTGGTGAAATTTCTGACAAACAACTTTCTGCCTCTTCTGAATGGGACATAAATCATGGTGCCAAACGTGGCCGACTTAACATTAAGAAAGACGGACCTCTGCGAGGTGCTTGGTCTTCCCGTAGGAATGATCAAAACCAGTGGATACAGATCGATCTTCTCACTAGTTACACGGCAGTGAGGGGCGTAGCCACACAGGGAAGATACGACTGGAATCAGTGGGTCACCCAATACAGGCTGCAGTACGGTAATGATGGAGAAAACTTTGAATTCTACACTGTGGCTGCAGGACAAAGTGCAATCAAGGTGAAAGAAATTTTCGATTTATGTTAATCACTTTGTTACTTAAGCCATATTTTTCACAAAATAAGAATTCTAACCTTATTTCCTTCTTAACGCTTAGGAGGCCCTATGTCTTCTTAGCCACGGGCGTGATCCACGGCTTAAAATACAGCTGGATTGATCATGTAAATTTAGAACAGTATCATGCCGTTGGATATAAATGAGATTTAATCTTATGGTTATCAATTTTGTTTAGGATTTTGCAGGAAACAAGGACCGGCACACTATTGTTTTTCACAAACTAAGGGCAGTCTTCGCACGTTTCATCCGAATTCTTCCACGGTCATGGCATGGACATGTCTCCATGCGCACGGAGCTCTATGGTTGCCCAGGTATAAGAACTATCTTATATTTTCAGTAGTCTCTTTTACCTCCGGGAACAGTAAATATCCATGGTCGGGGAGGGGAGGGGGGAAATTTTGGAGAGGATCACATAGTTTTCAGGGCTAATAGGAGGGGGGGGGATTAGTCGTCGCCTACAGAGTATAGAAAGGATACTTTAGGAAATTGACTGCCAATATGGGGGTTTGTAAGAATACTGTAGAGCTTTAAAGGCCAACCCCCCTCCCCTCCCCCCACCAAAACCCAGGCATTAAATAGTGATCCGATCCTTTACACACAAAATAGTTATAATAATAGAAAAAGATAAAAATAGACAACAATGTTTATACCATGCCATAGCATATATAGCCAGTAAGAATAAATACAGGAACGCCGTTGTGTATTCCACGATATTACACCCAGACTTTTCGAAATGTTAAAAGCTATATTCCACATTTTTGACCGTTACATTTTCGCACGTGATACATCTTGCATGTGATACATTTTCGCACGTGATACATCTTGCATGTGATACATTTTCGCAAGTGATACATCTTGCGTGTGACACAATTTTGCACGTGACACATCTTGCACGCTATACATTTTTGCATGTGACCAAAATAATTTTATTTGAGAGATTTATACTCTTTGTATTCTGTGTTATGAAGATTGGTTGGTATTTTTTAAGATTTTCTTAAAATCGCAGACTATAGGAAGCCGATTTAAACGCATTTGAAATTTGATGCAAGAACTTCGTGTAAAATTAAGTGGGTAAACACGGAACCACTAGAGACTCATGGGAAATTCCATGATACACCATTCGAATCTAGTACATATCAAAGAATTAGTCTGAAGTATGTTTTTATTATTTCTTTATTTTTTCACGTAATGTGAGAAGGCCCTGTAGCAAATCCAAATTTCATCTGTTTGGATTCGTTCAAAGATGATTTCTTTAGCTGAAATTGCAGTTTTCATCAAAATTAGCGATGTCCTCGGTCGGAATTGATTTAGCGTAGGCTCCAATGGACTGAAGTGCACTAGGTTAATTTTTTTTTCAACTATTATACAAAAATGACCCAATACTTAAATTGAAAATTTAATGATTGAGTGGCACATTGATATTCCTATTCCTTATGCGTGGCTGATTAAAAAAAAAAAGGAGTCAGTGACGGCGTTGACTTTGATTTTTGGCTCGCTTCAATTGACTTGAACGAATGCTTTTTGCATTCTAGCTCTGGTGGAAAACATGGACTTGAACGGAGATGGATTTGCCAGCCAAAGTGAAGTGGAAAGCTTTGGATTAAAGTGGAAGGGTGATGTAGAAGAATTCGATCTGAACGGTAAGAGTATCTCTTGTTATGATGAAAATCTTAGAATGAACGTATATGAGAATGAATGACGAAGATTTAGCTACTCCCTTTCTCAGGAAAGAACAGTTATGTCAACACTTATTTCATATTCACTTCTTAATCCGTAGTTCGCTTATATGACTTTCATATGTTCACAGTCATTGCTTTATCACTTCACGGGTTTATTGCTAACCAGCATAATTACCACCCGCAGTTGGCTTGTTAGCTCAGTTAGTACAGCACTGCACCGGTATCACAGATGTCATGGGTTCAAATCCCGTACAGGCCTGAACGTTTTTTCAGGCCTTATTTTCACTACTGCTTGAACAGTGTCCATTACTGCCAATATCATCTTCATATTCATAACTTTCATTGTTAAACTGTTCAAACCTGCTTTGCTGTAGAGAGAAAGAGAAACTTTATTCCTTAAAATCTAACCATTAGACATGTTACATGAAAAGCTCAGAAATTACTATGATACCTTTCTTCACAGCTGACGGCAAACTCAGTCCTGAGGAGTCTAAAATCATGACGTACAAAAGTATATATGATGTCAAGAAAATCCTTTGTCATTTCAAAGCCACCGATACGAACCATGACTTGTTTGTGACGGCTGGAGAGCTGAAAAAACGATTTGAAGACTTCAAATATGACATCACTCCAAACGGCCTAGCTGAGTTTATCAAGGAGGGCGACATTGATGTGGTGGATAATAAATTCAGTTACCACGGTAGGGAATTTATGATGTTAGTATCATAAATGGGGAGATAACAGAGGTCTGCTGTGGCTGAGTGGAACAATATCTGTGGGAAGAGTGCATACTTCTTATTGCTCGTTGTGAACCAAACTATACATTGCTAGAGGCGGAAAACACTTATACCCTATAACTCACATGATCTGATTGTTAATTCTCCCCTCTAGCTGCTACACATTTCCTTGTAAATCAGTCACGAGAATTTGGTGTTAGATCAAGACTACTAACGTCTGCCTGATAAGTTTAAGTATTCTTAGTCATTGCCTGTTTGCTGGATAATGTGTGGATGTTATAGTGAGAAGTTACATGTTAATCTTAGGGGAGTTAAAGGGTTAAGACTCGCAAATTGAACAAAAGGGAACGGGGTAGGAAAGGATAAAAAGAAATAAGGGACATTATTATTAGTATATCCTTATTTTAATCGCTAATTTGAGGTAGGTTCACCCACTAACATTGTTTCACAAACCGGCGGAAAGTATTCTTATCGTCAAGGAATCTTGTAGTCTCATATATATGACGGCTACGGCAGTCCTGGGGGAAATTTAAATGAAACGTTTTACTGTCGTCCATTTATCTTTGCCCCCATTACGAACTCTTTGATAAATGATCTTTATACATAGTAATAAATTTTTTTTTCTTTATCTTTTAGAGTTCAGCACGGCAATGTTTGGTGTTTAATACCCAGATTCTTGTGTGAACCTCCGTAGAAGCATCAAGGCAATCAGGCCTACGAAACATAGGCAGCTGTTTTACTTGTTATTAGGGAAGTTTGATGAAATATGTTTCGTCACGTAGATTTCTAATTGTGGGATATCTCAATAAAGAAAGTAGTAAAATCATTTATCGAGCCAGTTGCTAGTTGATTTTGCACGCTACAACACGAAACATTGTAATTCTTTTTGTTTGTAATTCCATTTGGTATATATCGATCCGGCATGAATATTGCGCACAACACACTTTTTTTTTTAATTCTTTAAGTGGTCACTGCTACTGAGGCAAGCACGAATAACAGCTCTATTGATTTAAATTTTGTCTCCAGTCTTCATAGAAATCGGTGAAACAGAATCTTACACTGACGCAGCTGTCAAGTTACATCCGCACTTATAATCACTCGCTTCTCATCGAATTAGAAAAGGTAAAAATGCGAAAAGAATCAATAATTAGGAACATTTCTGAACCACATGAGACTGATATTGAGGCCATACCAATTGGAAATTTTTATACGAGGAAATCGTATCCAAAAGTTTTTTCAACTGTTTTGACCAATATTTTTACAACGTCTTATTTTAGAGAAAGCCGTGATAATTGAAACAAATAATTACTTCTAATTATAAGAACAACTAATTATTCTAGAGGCAGAGTTAGCCTTAGTACAACAATGAAAGGGAAGCCAATTGGTTCGAAATGTGCATCCCACATGGCGTATGCAAAAGCTGTCCTCAGGGAATGCCGATTTTGTTCCCGTGATCGTCAAACCACTCTGAGAAGTGTAAACCTGAACCAACATAGAAAAGAGGAAATTTCTTCGCCTTCCTTAAAGATAACATGTTATTTGTTGAATTGATTCAGCTGTGTTAAGTTGAGCGGATCCAATTTACAGCTTTAAGTGCATTTACAGGAGTAGTTTCTCCCTTTTAGCATGGTAAATTGGCATAAGTAGAATATTTTCTCTGACAAATGGATTTTAAAAACTAGAAACACTGCATTAAGAAACGTAGAAGCACTTTGTTTGATGGCTAGGCGCAAGATCTCGAAAAGTGGATTCCAAGGTCTTATTGAAAAACAAAAACGAACTTCTACTTCCTAGCATAAATAATAATAGACATGGTTTTCTTTATTCATTATAATCAATATTGTTTTTTAAATAAGTTTGATTAAAATGATTGATGAAATACAAATCATGAGATTTCTTGAAATGAAAAATGATGTTTCGTAGCGGTATTCATAAGAATTCATAAAAATGCGTATTCTTGTTTCTTGGTTTTTCCATGATTCATCTCGTGTATTGTCGTGGAAAAAGAGAAGACTCTCATTTTTATTTTAAGAACAAGCTTTGTTTTTCACAAACAAAGGTAAACGAACCCCACTTCACCTTAAAACGGAAACAACGAAGACAATATCAAGTGTTAAGTGCTTAGCTTACGCGCAGGTCACATGATATTAAGGACCTTAAGCAAACCACGACGGCGACGGCAACGAGGACATGGAAAAACAAAAGATCTAATGGGCAGAACAATAGCTCAGCAAGTGTGTTTTAAAACTTTGTACATTTCTAAGCCGTCCTGTGCAAAACGATAACGTGAAATCACCACAATTTGCGTCGTCTGCGAACCGAAACCGCGACGGCCAATTATTTTAATTTCCATTTGGAACTGAACGCTTCTTTAATACGTTATGCTGAAGTTGAGGTGTGGCGCCGTATGGGATGGTAAACAAATGGAGCCATTTTTGAAATTCTAATTATAGGCAGAAATTCATTTTTTAATCGCAGTCGTCCTTAGCGTTACAGTCCTGACTGCTTAAGGTCCTAATGAGGATTGTGTGAACTGCGAAAACTGGCAAATACACGCTATCCACTACGACCCATACTTGCTGTTAGCTGTTGATAGTTTTGATCAATTGATATATTCTTTTATCGTGAATTTTATTGTTGTGCAGATTTTCTGTTGTCTTGATAATTGGCTTTTTTAGCGAGTTCTCAGAAAATAATGTTTTGTTTGCTGTCATTTTAATGTTGACACGATGATTATTTGTAATACTTTTTGTTAAGTTAATTTCTTTTCAGAGACTTCTAGAAATTTCTCTCTAATATTATCATTTCTAATTCATAATTTCGAGTTTATCGTCTGCCGAATTCGCCATCAGAGACGAGTTTCTACATTAATTTTAAGATTTTATATAGAATCAATACTCCCACTTGAGGTGGTGTTAACCGTAAATATTTTATAATTTCATCCACTGCACTGAATCTGTGATAAACAATTCTCTTTAATTTATGAAAACGCGGTGTGTTCAATTTTTTTTCCTTATTGACTGGTACAACAAACTTTTCCTTATTTAGTTTAACCTTAATTCTGTCAGCTTATTCTTTTTAATTTTTATGAAGCAAGTCTTATTTCAGTCGACCCAGATCTCATCTTAAAATATTAGATCTAGGGATGATAAGAGGAAAGTCAATTTGGAAGGAGTAAACAGCTCGAAAGTAATTATTCCAAGAACGAGATCGGAAGTAAGTTCCTGAGTTTGCTAATTAGGTTTTCAATTGACGTGAATCGAAAGGTGCTTGGTTGACAGCCCGGCTATTGCCATCTTGATCAAGGCTGGTGCAGCCATTTCTGGAACGCTTGAGCCAGTCACCCATGTGAAATGCAACTAGTTGGGTCTTTTAGAGAAAAGACAAGTTAGTGTTGAGGAAATGCTAGTTTTAACCAAACTAATAATATAATATATATATAATCCGGTTTTAACTGAGGTTATTTGTTCAATGATATAGAACTTAGATGCCACTGCCTCATATTAAATATTGATCCTCGGTGCCAAGGATGAATAATATAGATAAGCATCCAAAGGAGATATTAAAAACTTTTTTTTTCTTTTTTTTAACGTGGCTCATGGAACATCCGTGCTTATAGTTGAAAATCCTATTAAGCGTTTTGACAGAAAATTATCTCAAACGATTGGCTGTCACTTAAATTAACAATAGCTAGCCAACGAAATTTTGGTAAAATCACACCATTAATATTTTCAGCCGTGGCCCTTTTAAGGTGTTTGCATTACAAAGAAAGGGAAGTGCATAACATCCGTCTCACCACGGTCAAACGTCATTTGCCTCCTCCCACGCCAAGCATACTACCCTCTTGAAGCGATATTTTTGTTACAGTAAGTATAAATTACATTCCTGCCTTAGCTTGTTATGCCTTAAAACACGCTTGCCTTTTTTATTATTTTATCTGTAAGAGAGAGAGAGAGAGAGAGAGAGAGAGAGAGAAAGAGCTATTGTAGATCGGCGTTTGGGTATCTCCCATAATTTGAGCTAAATGTTTCCAAGATGGTCATTTGAAATCTAAGTTAATCTTCTCCGTCTCCAAACATAGTCAGCTTCTCAGTGTTTTTTATCCATACAAACAATTTTTTAAAGGTTTCTTTCCTTTTTCTAAGTCAAAAAGTAAAGAAAATATCTTCACCTTGAGTCCGCTTTGAAGAGAACAACACTGTTTGCACTCGATTCATTATAGCAAGTTTTAAAAGAGGATTTTTTATACATCAAAAATGTTCTCTCCACGGCAATGTTTACTTATGCTTCCCGGACGAGGACATTTCCGTCCCGGTATAATATTTCCTCATTTTTTGCAATGCAGAGCAAAGGGTTGAAGGTCGACGAATTTTCTCTCCAAACTTTCGCAATGTATTCTCGCCCTCTTTTTCGCGACGCATCTTACCTAGAGTCTCCAGAAATATGGAAAACCCCTGCTATATAAGCTGATACAAATCTTAAAGTTGATACAAACCCAGCAGCTTCTTGTCATATCAAGAAAACCCCCAGATACACAGAAATGAAAACAGGGCGTTTTTTTAGGGATTTCGCCCAAAATTTCTAATTGCCTAATTTTGCTTACTGAGATGAGCGTATTCGAGAGAGGAAAAACAATTGGTCAAAAAGTTTGGCGTGACTCCTGTATATTCTTTTGGAGTTTTAATTAGAAATATTTACGTACAACCGATCACTGCAATTGAAAGACTTAACTTGGCAGGGGATGATAGGGTCATGAGGATCCTGTTGGGTCGGCTCAACAAATTTCCTTGTTAACAACTTACTCTGAAAACAATAGAATTGCAATAAACAGTTTCATGATTTCCGGAGTTTATTTTAGAAAAAGAGGCCTAGTGATGACAAAGTAAATAAATATTGGCGATCCACAATCAAAGCAACCATTTGAAGCAAAATTTGGATTGAGTGCGTCGATTTTAACTGCTTTACGAGCTTTCATAATGCAGGAATTTGACTTTCAACACTGCATATTAATTTTGTGGAACCAAAATCGCTAGTTTTTTTATGCAACTTTTAGTACAGTCATAACCATGGTACGAAATCCAGTGTTCAACAGTACACCAGCTGCATTTCACTGGCAATTCATGCTCAACAGCCGTTCTCTTTATAGGAAATTGATCTAAGTTTTTTTTGATATTGCTTGTTCAGGCCAGCTCTGTTATATCAAAGACACATCTATGATGCTTGCGGGGTCAAAGCTAACAATGGTCTTAGCAATAATCTGTATGATGGAGAAAGGTAAAATCAGATTTCACTCCGATCTATACATTGCAAGATGTTTACTCCCCTCACCTATGACAATACGTTTGACACAATCTTCTCTCTGTATTTTTTGATTCTTAAAGTATATGTTACAGCTACTCAGGCCCGCAGATCATGGCTCATGTTAATATAGGCAGACCAATTTTTAAAATCTAACAATTTTTTTTATGCTTGCATTAAATATTCTTTAACTTTCCTTATTTCAGTTTTGGCCACTGATCAAGGGCGGACAAAATATCTCCAACAGGACAAGGGTAAGAGATTGTTTTATTTCCTTTTCGTTTATTTACTTAAATCGATTGTTGCGTCTTTACTAAGCTCCATCATTTAGAAAAAAAAACCTTTCTAACAAACCGAAAGAGAGCTGAAATTACCAGTTACGGCAAGTTGTTTACAAAAACATGAGAAAAATAAAATGTAGGTGCAAGGGGAGGGGATACATCTTTAAAGAAACGGTGGTGCTACGTCTGTGGGCCACCATAGACAGTTCCCGAAACGTAAGCTAGTAAATGTAAGCCTCCGTCAGAACAAATAGAGAAACTATGGGTTGTGTGTGGTTTCCGTACAGAAACATGGAACTACGCTATTGGTGGGAACTAGGTGCAGTGAGAAACACGAGGTAAAAATTAGTGGTGAAATACGCTCGGTGATGCCGTGGGAATAAAGAATGCCGATGGGAGAGATAAAGTTTTTGCTCTAGAGGTTGGCGGGTTATTGAACTGTGGAAATGTAGGGAAAGACTGCAGACTGCTTTGAATAATTAAGAAGACCTGGCAATAAAGTAAGACGACTTTTAAGGGGCTTGTTTACATGGATGTATGGGACCCTAGATAGGTGAGGAAACCCGCCGTCTTAGTTTTTGTGACATGAACGCTACCCCGGCTGAGCGGGTTTACCCCACCTTGAGACATTTACATGGCAAACTGTCACCCCAGGTAACAGAGTAACCCTACCCAGCAGAGCGGGCAACCAGCCTAGGCGGGTCACCCCACCCATTATGTAAACGGCTAAAATAATGCTAAAGCCAATTTTAAACTTTGCGGTTATAAAACACTAATTATTGTTCTTGTGAAGACATAAAACCGCCAAATATAGAATGCCCGGATAACGTGTTCAGCAACACGGAACCAAAAAAGCCCACCAGGAGGGTGAAGTGGAGAAGACCATTTGCCACGGACACCTCGGGTCACATGCCCACAATTACCAGCTTCCCAAAGGGTATTGTGTCACCTCACGACTTTCCGATTGGAAAAACACGCATAATCTACACAGCTACGGACCACAGTGGAAATTCACATTCATGTGTGTTTACGGTTACCATTGTAGGTGAGTATTTTTGAAAAAAAAGTTTTATATTTTCTTTTTTGTTATGCCACTATCTGCAAATGTTGTCAAATATTAGTTTGTGAAACGATTATCTTATCTTTAAACTGTTGATCATGTTATTTCGTAAGTGTCACTTGTTTTTTCTCGCTCTCTACGAAATTATTTTGACAAGTTATACTAACGGAGAGAACTCTGATAAAAGAAAATTTATTTCTACAGGGAATAAATGATTTTATGCAGCTAGCTACGCCAGTTAATGTTTCTTTAGTTAGAGTCAGTTTTCATATGGAACTCAAAGTTCTAAGTTCTTAAAAGCAGTAAAAGAATAATAATTTTCATTGTCGTTTGTTGTTATTCAAATCGTGACAAGCCCTGAAGTCTTGAGTCATTTACGAAAAAAACTTCCACACTTAAATGAGATACATTTATTTCAAAATAAAAACTAATATTTTTCTCATTTCCTTCTTAGATAAGGAACCTCCAAAGATAACTTGTCCCAAAGATATGGAAGTCATCAAGACAGGGCCAGGTCACACAACTGTTGTCCACTGGCACCCGCCGACTGCTGATGATAACTCTGGAGGACACGTCGTTTTGTTTACTGAGTCGGTCGCTGATTCCGGTTTTACAGTGGGGCGACATCGAATTACTTACAAGGCCACGGACCCGTCGGGCAATAAGGCGTCATGTACATTCACTATAACTGTTTCAAGTGAGTAGGGCCAGTGCTATCAATTTTGGTTTCCAAAAGAGGGGCGTTTGGGAAAAAAAATTTGTACTGGGATGCTCAGCGTTGAGTTTAGCACCTTACATTTTTTGTACGCCAGTCTGTTTGTTTGTTTGTTTGTTTTTTATTGGAAAGTGCTCTATCATCTACGGACAGTCTTTTCATTGGATATGTCTGGGTGTCAGTGAATAAGTTCCGTCCGCGTAAATATCTCAGCTAAGAAAAATATTTGGTGATCTGAAATTGCATTAGTTTCATTGGTATACTTTGTACGTGATGTGATTGGTTTAGAAAACTGGCGCCACCCTTTCAGCCAATCAGATGCATCTAGAACTAATCGAAAGTTGATCGCTTGCGTTGTCCCTCGCTTGGGGTAGTTAGCATGTATTTTCCTCGAATTCCCATTGGCGACTCTGCTGGTGACGTCATGGGAAAATTTTCCTTCTTGTATTGTTGAAACTCCGGCATCACTTTCATCGAATTTGGCTCGACGAAATTCAAGGCCTCTTTAAACGTGCCTCGACTGATTTGTACCCAAGTTCGAATCACTGTTAAGGGTAACGAAAATATACAATTAAGTCTTTACTTGTAGTGGATAACTTCAAGGACAGCGTGCAATTAGCGTCAAAACTAGTTAACACATCATATTTGAAGAGTCTTATTTAAGTGTAGAATAACCTGGTCCTGTCTCTACCACACTCTAAATCATTGGTAAACCCCCCCCCCTTCCCCATTCAATTTTGCCTGTATATAGCTGAAGGTCATGGAATCACGATGCAACAATGTTCTGGGGGGGGGGGAGGGGGCGAATAGATTAACTTAAAATTTAAGTTATAAGGGTTTGAAAAGGTCAATCTGTCAACAATTTTATCACTGATTGTGGGTCTGTTTTTCTATCGACCAAAAAAAGGGATTATAAAGATATCAAAGTCTGGAATGATGGATTGGTAGTAGGCCATAACATAAAACAAGAAATCCAAGCAAACGTGTTACTTAGTGAAACCGCGTTACAAATTGGGTCGGTGTTTACACGAATGGATGGCCAGAACTAATCCCATCTTTTCCTGACTTGTCAAGCCGAGCTAGTCTCGACAAGGGGTAACCCAGCAAGTACTAGGACTGGCCCGGCTCAGCTACTTTTCTCACGTAAACGATAGCAAATACGCTCATACCTTTCGCGATTAGTTATCCGAGGCCGTGGAAAGAGGCCCTCGATCAAAATTCGCAATCGCTATTTGATAAGACTATAACTTCATAGCCCTAATTTTCTTGATATATTAGCAGTCTAGCTACTTCTTCTCTCACATTTCAGATCCCAAGTGCCCGGCTTATGCTCCTCCACTGAATGGTCTCATGGCTTGCGCGCATTCGCATCTGTTAGGCGGGACAGTGTGCACACCACAGTGTAATCTCCCCAGGGATTTCACCAGAGTTCCTGCCCATATGTACATCTGCCAATCGACAGGAACATGGTTTGCGTGGGATTCACGCCCAGTGGTGTCACAAGAGTTACCTTGGCCAGATTGTACTGGTTGGTAGTTCTTCATATTTTCGTATTGTGGGCGAGTTGATTATACACCGTCTGAAAATCAATGAATTTATCACTTCGACAGTGGTTTAGCGTGGTCTGCACTCTTATCGAAAACGGTATTCGTCATAACAGTAGTCAAAATGTTATGGACTCACGATAAGAGTACAAACCTCGCTAAACCACTGTCGATTTGTTTTTAACCACAGTATCGAGGTCAAAATTTTCAAGTCATCAATGTTTGAGAGCTGATAAAGGCAGTGCGTGACATGTTGACGCGACAGCGTTGTCTGTTCTTTTATCGACATGGAAAATTGGCCAATCAGATAGCGACATTAACTTATGTATACTTAGCTCTACTACCACGGCATTGAGCACTTTCTGCTAAGGTACACTCCACCCCCACATTCATATATATATATATTTCAGATGTTGATGGACCAGTGTTATTTCGAAAAGGAATGAGTTGGCAAAGCTTTTCAGGAGACTGTTTGGATCCCAAAGTCCAGAAACTAGCCAAACAAAACTTGGTAAAAGCCTTCATCGATGTTTTTGGTCAGGATTTTGGCCTCATGGCAGACGACATCAGCATTGCATGCGGCAAGTCCCGGAGAAACGAGAAAAGTGTTCTGCCGGGGGCAGGTAATTAAGGGTGGTAGCTTCTCTTAATAACATTACAATCTTCGATCAAGTTTCCAAGGTAATCTGGGGTCGGATTGGTTTACTTAACTCGCAGCGTGATTAGTTCAGAAAACTAGCGTCGCTTTCTCAAACAATCTTACTCAAAAACAAAATCAGTAACAGCCTGATCATTTGGATTTTCCCGTCCTTTAGGCAGTTTGCGCATTCTTGTTTTCACTTTGAGATCTCATGGCTCCATGGGATACTTCCCCTTACGTAACATTATCAAAGCAGCAACATTTTGTCCTGTAACTTTCTTTCTTCAACTGCCTACAGCAAATTCACCAGATTTGAAAAGATTGTTATTTTTTCAGTCATTTTTAAAGCCACGTATACGTATCCCTACTTTTAAATGCCAACTAAAATTAGTGATAATGCTCTGTTTTTCCTGATTTTTAGAATTCAAAAGTGAATGAAGTGGACCAACTACTGAGAGAGTAGCTAACCAGTCATGCACGAGAGTTGTTACCTGTCAACACGAAATCGTTGCATTGGATTACAACAATAAAACATTCAAAATCGAAAGCTATTTTGTGATTGATTAGAATTAGGAGTTAATTTTTCCTAAAGCCCAAGGAAATATGATTAAAACCTTCTGTAGCCTCCAATTTCAGAGATATACACCCATAAATATTGAAACAAAACAATTTTGTCATAGAGCTTTTGGAGGTATTGAACAAACCCTTATTCAAGTGAATAAAGGCGGTAAGTTTCTAAAGAAACCGTGGTGCTGCGTCGGTGAAAGGGTATAACAGGGTGATTAAGCATCATCAACTGAGTTTATAATACTAAATTGGCCAGCGTTGAGAGTTTAAAAGCTGACGTTTCGAGCGTTAACCCCTCGTAATTGTTCTGAATCAAATGGTCCATTTTGGTCATTAACAACACTCTGTTTTGATATTCGAAGGGAATTCCCCCTCTCTTCAAAAGAGCTGCGACTTTGAAACTTTCACACAATGTACAGCTAATTTTCGGATTTTTCGGCCCGCGCAAAGGCTGTGACTTTGCAAATAAAAAGCAGTCGATGGCGCTTTTCTTAGAAAGCTATCAACCATCTTGGAAATCCTCTTTTTGGCGGACATATTATCAGTTTAATATCAAAGAAATAGAAAAGAATAATAAATAGTTTTAAAAAAAGGCTTTATTGCACAATGCACCATAACAATAACAGCGAAAAAGTTTCTTAGCTTGCGTATTTGGCGGTTGTGTGATTGTTCGTTGAAAACGAAGGCGCCAGTCAACGTTATAGACATGCGCCGTTTGCTTCACGACTTCTTCGATCACACTTAACACAGAACAGCCAGCTACGAAATCTAGAAGAAAAGATCCATCCTCACTTCAATCAATACTTTTTTTCTTAGAGCTCTGCAAAATAAATATAATTTCACTATGTTTGCTTGACTACTCATACTTTTTAAATGTCTTTTTTTTTAGATGTACAATTAATATCAAGCTTCCATGTTTCTAAATACTGAATTTCTCTATCTATATAACGTTTTTCTTGATTTGACACTACTATAGGTACTTGATATTTAATCTAATGTCACACGTCGTCACTAAATAATTAGATTATTTAAACAATTTGCTTCAGATTTCAGACGTTTTGTCTCTTTCTCTCTCTGGAGAAGAAATTGGAGGAATAACAGCTATAAATAGATAACATGTCGTACGAAAGAAAACCTGAGGAAATGATAGAAATAACATTCTTTAGGAAAGAGCTTAATCAAAAATTGCTTTTCTACATAAAAATCAAACCATCGCAGAGAAACTTGGTATGTTTAATATATTTCTCAACTAGAACTTTTTCAGTCAGCTTTGTAAGAAAAATAAACCTAAGCAGGGCTGGGAATTGTGCTTTGGCATTTGATTTGAAAATATTCGACAACGAGACCCAAACATTTCTCAGTCTTACTGCCCTGTTAGAAATATTCTCGTTCTCAGAGTCTCACTATTTCTCGCCCACCAGAGATACCCTGGGAACGCAAACAATGTCACTTTCTCATTGCCCTTTACAGTAAGAAGCTCATCTAAACTATCTAATATCACAAAACGTACAAATATAAATAATTTGGAAACAGCTGGTAATTCCGAATCAAGAAGACTACGCACGCATTGAATCACGTGACTTGTGACGTAACACTGACGTAAGCAGAAGCCGTGACACGAGTGACATTTGTAAGAGGTAACATTGGTCAGAATCACATCTGCAGAAAAAAAATAAAGATGATATGAGGTCAAAGGAACATGAAGTCAAAGCTAACAGGACAGTAGCTTTCTCTAAACTGAGATTCTTACTCAGTGAAGACAAAAAGCCACCCCCTGGAGTTCTTATTCATCTCCCGTCTCGGTTAAGCCCCACCTTCCCCCCCCCCCCCCCCCCCGAGCTAAAAGTTTCTGATACATCCCTCTCCAAAAAGATAAAAAGATAAACCTCCTTCTACTTTCCTTCTAGGACAAAATCTCATACAGTAGATTATTTACATAGTGCCCTGCCAGGTTGTTTTAAAATCATCAAATTTTCTTAGTTTTAGGGGGTCACATAAACCCTCTCGCTTTTGCCACATCCTTGCATCAATCACCAATCACTTAACGCTTTTCACATAAAATCCTTGCAATTGCAAGATCATATGCTTACCAGGCTTATCAAAATATCTTACCTTGTCGGGGTCGTAAATGGGTAATTTGTCAAGTAGTGCTCGATCGTTTTCCTCGTCACGTGCAATGTACAAGGTGTGCCCCAAACCGCAGCTGACCTGTTGGATGTAAATCCCTTCCAGAGGTTCGACTATCTTCGGATTTGATGACGATTTTTGTCCTCCTTTCTTTAATCCATATCCCTGAAAAATAAACGTAGTTTCATAATATTTAAGCACGCAAGTTTTAATAAGGACAGCATCTGTACCTCACAGAGAAATTGTTTTCATAATATATATCAGCAACAACGCGCGATGTAATCAGTCAATTCAGCGGGCCATTCTCTACCGTATTGCCTACGGAAATTTAAAGCTCTTATGTTGCCCAAATTTTTTTCTGTTCATCTTTATAATATCCTTAACTTCAATAGGGAGATAATCACGAGTAGTTTGAAGCCGTTCCACGTGTCTTTAAATCGTTTCCTGTACTCGCTGTATAGACGGTAAACATATAATGATATGTCAAACGTCGTCTTCTCGGCCTCAAAAGAAAGTCGAGGTTCCCCGTTATTTCTCCCCCCTTTTCATGCCCGTGCATTCCCCGTAACGTTTAGCAAAGACCTCGAGCGTGGTTGATGATAGGTATTCACTCAATTCTGGCTAATACTTGACATTCCTTTGGTCAGTGTTAATGAAACTATTTCTCTTGCATGAATATGAAATAGTTAGAACAGATGCACTCGCAGGTAACGACTGCCAAATAACAAGTTGGTGCTCTGCGCTAATTGTGCTACCACAACACTAGTCTATTCAAGTTGTCGCCTTAGCTGTGAATGACGAACCATACACCGTTTTTTTAGACCGACACGAATAAATAAACAAAAACAAAACGGCAGTATGGACCTAAACATTGGAATAACTAAAAACAACGAGTGGACTACGCACCAGTTCCCCGTACGTCGGACTCGGTCCCCAGCTGACCACACTGTCGTCTGCTGCCAGAACAATGCTTGTTTTGCTGTTAAGAAAATGAAGCATTTACTCTCATTAAGTATCTGCATTATCTTGACAAAAAAAGGTTAAAATTAAAAAAAAATTTCTTCAAGTAGGCAACGAAATTATTGTTTCTGTGGTTATTGTTGCGACGAACTTATTTCCTAAATTCCCTGACTTTTTCGGCCTTTTAATAACAAGACTGCAATTTCCTGACCAACGAAAAGAAAAATGTATCTTGAAAAAGCAGCCTTCGGCTTCCACTAGAGCCGTCCTCGCCATGTATTTTTATATTTTCAACAAATTACGTTATGTTTACAGAATAGAAGAAATGGATGAGTGATGGACTTGACTTTTATCTTTTCTCCCTGCCCGTTCCCTGACCTTAGTCGCCATGATAATCGACGCTTCGAGAAAAAAAAATAAACAAACAAATAAACAAACAAAAGCAGTGGTTCCTTTCCAGCGTACCCTTTGACATTAGGATAATTACTCGAAAAATCTAACTTTTCATTATAAATGGGCTTAAATGCAGCCTTATCATCCCATTCCTTATCTAGGCTGCGCCCTTGTTTGGGCTGCACAACTAAAGAGTATCTTAGACTTTGGACTGTCACGGCTCAGTTTCAGATGCATGGTGGCATCCCCGGTGCTCTCAGTTCGGTGCCTTAAGGGTATCAAATGAACCCCAACACCACTTCCTTATCTCAGTCACATCATTCCTTAGCCTTTTCCACTAACGAGTATCCTTCACTCCAAACATCCCATCCTAACATGTCCCTGACCGGTTTCGGGTACATAGTGGTATCCCCACGCTCTTGGGTCTGGACCCCGAGGGGATGAAATGCACTCCAACACCCCCTCTATATCTCAGCCACATTCTTGCTTAGCTTTTACAACTTACGAGCATCCCACACTCCGGACATCCCATCCTGACATGTCCCGCACCGGTTTCGGGTACATAGTGGCATTTCCCGCGCTCTTATTCTGGACCCCAAGGGGACCAAATTAACCCCAACACCCCCCTCTATATCTCAGCCATATCTTTGCTTAGCTTTTACAACTTACGAGCATCCTACACTGCGGACATCCCATCCTGACATGTCCCGGACCGGTTTCGGGTACATAGTGGCATCCCCCGTGCTCTTGGTCTGTCCCCAGAAGTACAGCTGACCAGCACTGACCGCCATGCTATAGCTTGCACCGGCATGGACGGACGAGACACCTAAAGAGAGAGAGAGAGAGAGAGAAGGAAAAATTTATCACTCTGGAAGAGAACGCTTCAACACATCTAAACGAGATCTCGGTCACACTCAGGGAAATTCTCGGAGAGAATAGATTTTCTTCTAGTTTATTCGCCTTGCTGTTTAAGGTGATGATAAACATAAAAGATAACCTGCTAAAAGCATTAACTCCACCGTCAATGAAGATAACGATGATGGAGACATGGACAGTGCTGTATATAACTCATTAGTAATAAAAAATAAATACTACAGTATCGTGTGGAAATTTGAGGTACTTTCAGAGCACACTTTCCTTACCAAGAGGATGAGAGGAAGGAACAGAATTTGTTTCACAAACGCTTTAGAAAAGTTTCGTGCTCACAGGAAAGGTACACAACAATAATTCTGGAATAAAGGGGTAAGTTTCTAAAGAAACTGTGGCGCTGCGTCGATGGGAGAGTATACCAGGTAATTTAGTATTATCAACTGAGTTCAAAATGTAAATTGGCCACCGTAAAGAGTTTAAAGGCTGACGTTTCGAGCATTAGCCCTTCGTCAGAGCGATTGGCAATGATTCTGGAAAGCTGTGATAGATCTCTGATTTCTGATAAAGTGTTTAGAACAAAAACTTTAATACCCGTCGTGAAAAAAAAAAATTGACAACAACAATAATAAAAGACAGTACAAAAATACAACACGTTTGCTCTCACTTTTTCCTTTGAAGAAAGAAACCAGTCTTGGCACATGTTCATCTTTGGGTTGTTGATGGCCGAGCCGGCCGTAACCACCAAATCCCCAAGTAAAAACTCGGTCCTTAGAATCTCGAACAATCTGAAAGATATCAAAATACACTGGCTCCTTTTCAATCAGAAATTTGGTTCTAACAACTGCAAACAGGCTTTAGATGTATCCATCTTGTACTGCTAAATTTTCAACTCCAAATATTGTATTTCTAGTGTTCTGATTGGTTCACTCAACTCTGGTGATCAGCTCATATTCCGAGTCACCTTATATGGAAATAATGCAGAGCGAAAAAAATATTTGCCTTAGAGAGCTCCAATTATCTTAACGTTTACGATTTGATGAAATTTAATAACACAACCATTCCAATCTCGCTTTTTGGATTCGAGATTGGTTGTAGCCATTGAGGCGCTACCACCTCATATCGAAAACGCGGTCGTGGAATAATTTTTAAATAGAAGCTGGTCACCATCAGTATGTACATGTTAAAAAGCATTGGAGCAAGGAACGAGGCCGAATACCGACGACCAACTCCTAGCTTACCGGATTGAAACTTCCTACAAAGAAAATAACCAAAGCGAACAGTAATTGGGTAATATTCTATTTCCTTACCGTGTGGTTATTTCCGCATGAAACATCGACAATTTTCACATCGTCCATGATATGGGTGAATCCATCTTTTGTTTTTTCGACAAAAACTGCGACGTGTCTAGGTAGCACCTCGCAATAAAATGCCAGCTTATTAGATGTGACAAAGTACTGCCCGTCTGTGTTATGTCCCAGCTGACCATGCTCCGGGCGACCGAACGAATACAGCAAGTTGGTGTCATCAATAAACATGCTGAACTCTGCCCCGCATGCAGTCTTGATTATCTTCTTGTTGTTCGGGTGAACAATCTTTGTATGGAAGGGAACCAGAGAAAGAGAGAGAGAGTAATTACGATTGATATCATTATTACCATCTTCATCAGTATCACCTTCATCATCATCATCATTACCGTTATCACCCTGACAATAGAATCCATGTTCCCGTGTGTCTGATCAGCGATACATTACAGATAACGTCAAAATGTGGTACACGTGGCGCAGCTGGGTGGATCACTGGGAGGGGTCCATTAGAAATGGGGAGGGCCCCCCTTCACAGAGATAAGTGCCTATTAGAGTAGGAGATCTTTTAGAGAGAGGAGAGGGTTACTAGGGAGCATATTAGATAGTGGGGTTTATTATAGAGGGGGCTTTCTGAGAGGGGAGGCCTATTAGTAAGGGGGCTCACTATAGAGAGGGGAGCCTAATTGAGGACGGGGCTTATCAGATAGGGTGAAAAGGGCATTATAAGAAAGAGTAGGTTTTTTGAGAGAGGTATATTAGAGGGGGGCCTATTAACGGGAAGGAAGCAGTTATTAGGGAGGAGCACATTTAAAGGAGAGGGCTTATCAGAACGGCTCCACTTTTTTGGAGATGGAGGCTTATTACAGATGAGGGCCTATTTGAGAGGGGGACGTACTAGATAGTAATGCTTACTCAGTACACTTTGATGAAGAATAAGTTGCAAGTCAAAATAAAACTATAATATTCTTTCAAACATAGGTATACTTCCCACTGAGTGCTACATACATGTAGCCCAAAGGTATGACAATATTACAGTTTATGTTTAGTGGAGCAGGAAGGAGGTGGAGCAGGCTATCATCCAAGTATTTACATAAACAATACCCCCCCACCCCCCCCCCCCCCTTCCAAGTTCCTTCTCCATTTCACTGTGCACTAGGCTATACATTGAAGAACATCTGGTAAATCTGGTAAAGGAACAGTTGGCATAATCCTCCAAAAAAGTGATCAAAATGGTACCTGAACAGGTTTGGCTACAACTGGTTTTTGATGTCCTTGTCCCAGCTGTGCCATCTTGTTTCCACCAAAACCAAACAGGATACCCTCAGCTGAAAACAACAGTTATTACTAGTAATGAGTGATGTGACCATCATTAAATAATCACAGCTACCATATTTTCAGGTTTCTTGTACCAAACAAAGAAGCTTGCAATGAGAATGTGTGAGTTTCAGCTCCCTGTGGTTATGCATTTATTCTATAAAATTCCCACAGCTCTTGATTTGCTTCAATGCTCTAAGCCATGCAGCCTGGTTTTCCACCCCCTTCTCCCCACCCTCAAAAAAAAAAAAAAAAAAAAAAAAAAAAAAACTGTGAAAACTTGTTCCCAAGGTCCCTCTTCTTCTCAGCCCTAAATGACTCTTGCAGAGTGAGGGGGAAATTGCCAAAACTTGCATCTTGCATCAAAGCTAAAAGAAAAATTTTAAATATTACTGCTGCAAACCTGTGAGAACCAGGGTGTGTGCCTTTCCACAACTTGCTTGCACGATAGTGTAGTGCTTTAAACTCTCAATTACTTTGGGCTTGTCACAGCGTACCACATCTCCATGTCCCAGCTGACCATTGTCATTGCGACCTTAGAAAATTAAACTAGTCACTTATTGCTGAACAAATATGCAATGTCTAGATGTATGTAAATTATAAGAAATAAAAACTTTTATGTTAAACCCTGATAAAGTCACTTATGTAAGATGTAGCAAACATTTGAGAGAGACTAAATATAAATGCACATGTGAAGCACTGATCAAGGTGTAATTTATTTATGTACTTTACCTCCCATGACTGACCAATTAACAATTTCTCATTACAATATCAACACAATATCAAGTAGACAAGTGATGGGAATAAAAAAATTAATAGGAATTTTAGAGCATTGTTGGTTGATCCAAAACAAAATTCTCTGAACTACCATCTCAAGAATTGTATGGCAGACAATAAGGAGATCTTGGAAGTAAAGGCCTCAAGACTAAATAGGGCCTTGAAACTTAATCCTGAAATCTAATCCTTAAAATTATTGAAAACTTGGATCACATGTCAAAGTCACCAGTCTCCAAAGGTTAACTCTTAAATCCCCCGAATATATTACCATATAACTCCTCCCAAAAATAACCATACGTTATCAACCTTATCAAAAATACTACAATGTTGTCCTGATATACATGTAACACCAAATTCTCCTTACTAGTTTTCAAGGAAAATGTGTGACAGCTAAAGGGGAGAATAATCAATCAGATCTCGGGCATTAAAGTTTTCCTGACAGAGATCAAATGCTAAGGAAAATTGCTTGGGTCAATTTCCACAAAAATGGAGAATTTAGAGTCCAAACTTTCACACTTACATTTTACTGGCCAAATAACAACATCAAATTGCATGCTTACCAAAACTCATAGCAGTTCCATCTTCACAGATGATGATGCTATGACATGCACTTGGACCTGAAGCCACCAGCTGCACTCTGATGTGGTTCAGTGATGAGATGCTGTGCGGTTCCCATAAGTTTGGACCTCCTGCATTACCTGAGGACATTACATTAATTGGATTATTCGGTTTTGTCAACTGAGTTGATAATGTAAATTTGTTACCATATTAAGGAGTTTGTAAGCTGACATTTTGAGCAAACAACAAAGGGCTAATAACCTTGTTATATAAAGGTTTCTTTAACCATTTAACTCCCAAGATCTAATTGAGAATTCTCCTTACTGTCTGCCACACAGTTCTTGTGATGTAAGTTTAGAGAATTTGGGATTGGATCAACTTATAATCCCCTAATTGATATTTGTCTTAATTCTCGTCACTTGTGTGCTTGATATTGTATTTATATTGTAAGGAGAAATTCTGTCTTGGTCAATCATGGGAGTTAAAGGGTTAAAAAATTACCCCCTCTATTAAATTAATTGCCTTATTTGCTATATGGTAGAAATGGCCTAGCCTATAATTTTTTTCTTTTTAGCTTTGTATTTTTTTTCTTTTGACCAAACAGAGGGATAGAAATTTAAAAGAGTCTACTTAACAAAATACAATGTTGCTTTGCATCTGTTCAGTAATAGATCACAGATGACATCAAAATGTGGGAAAAAAAAAAAGAAAAAAAAAAAACACAGTGACACACAAGGCACAGCTGAATTGTCAATGATGCTCTTACCATATTTTGACACTTTCTGTGATCTATTACTGAACAGTAACATGACCGAATGGAATTTAATACATTTTTTTACAATGATAAAATAGCAAAATTTTGTTAAGGGTCACTTCATTTATGTTTCTGTCCTATAATTCAGCTCCACATATCACCCCCCATAACTCCTTACTTATCACAGTTTCTGTACCATCTGCATCACTGGTGAATATCCAGCAACCTATCAAGTTTCCTTAAAGTAATTTCCAGTACCTATTTTATCATCCTGGGCAGAGAGAAGTCAAGTAAGAGAAAAGTATCTTGTCCAAGAACACAGCACAATGAACAACCCCCCTCCCCCCACCAAGAGCTCAAACCCTAACCTTACCATTCAGAGTTGAGCATGCTTACCTCTGAGCCATTTAAGAACTCAATACAGCTGAATTTAGCAAACAACAAGAGTCAATGGCAAGCAAATTGGGTTAATCTTGAGTTAGCTAAGGGGTCAACATGCATGAAAGGCACATTTTACTATGATGGTGATGGGAAATAATTAATATGACAAATTTTAGGTCATTTTAAAGCATACAGTTATTAATTTCCTGGGTTTTGGTTTACTCAGAACACTTTGTGTAGCACTCATGATTCAAACATTGTCTCAAACCTCTAGGCAGCCTGTTGACCAAAATAAGAGTTTCAAGAAACACAAACTTACCAGCAGATTTTGGTGTCTCCTTCCTTCCAACTAAGTCCCAGTTTGTTGCTCCACTTATAAGAAGCTTACCACATGTGTTAGGTGGTGCTGGAGACTTAAAAAAAAAAAAACACAAACAAAATTCTCAATTTTCCATCTTAAGTTTAGGACAATGCAGTTAAAATTATTTTTTTGTTCTTCTTTTTCATTATTTAAAATTAATATATAGTTCTATCTTCAAATTCTTGGATGAAAGTCCTTTCAAGGGATTTCATTGTGGAATTCATGTCAAAGGTCATGTCAAAAAAAAAAATCAATAAAAGTTCAAATTTTTTTGCTAGTTTTCTCTAATGACTGAATGTTTTGTGACAAGAACTTGCAGCTCAACCCAACTTCCTCATGAAAGTGCAACTAAAAGTCATGTTATATGCTTACATGTAACTCTTTACAGCCTAACATCAGTATGCATATTCTCTCTACTGTTCTCTATACATTCACTAAGGTACTAACAATGAGAATTTGTTTAACAATCAAGAGCCTTTTCTGTTGGTGATCTTTTCCTCTATTCTTTTTACCTTAATGTTTGACTCAGGGCTGATATTGTTAAGAGAAATTAGATGCTGGTCAATCTTAGGGGTCAAAGGTTTAATTTATAGGCATTATAAGGCTTTTGTTTTGTTACATTTTAAAAAAATACAAAGGGAAAAAGGCCTACTGGGTTATCCATTTATGTCCAGAAATGCATGCAGGATTTGATGAAATTTCATGAAACCGAGTGAATGTTAATGGATTTGAAAATTCTGCCCATAATTTAGGCAAATTTGTCAAAGCTAAATTGGCTAGATGGAATTGACAATTTTGACAAAGTTTAGTCAAATTCATTACAGTGAAATCAGCCTGTTGGATTTGATGATTTTGATTAATTTTTATCACTTTTATTACTGGAAACATTTCTGGACAGTATTTTTGGACAATTAGACTACTACAGGGGTACTTTGGTTCAATACTGGTTTTAATGACATTTTTTTTAACCAAAAATGCCAGAGTACCAAATAAGAAGCTATGGCACCTTCCTCAAACATCTTTTAACAAAGGGAACATATTTTCAGGTAGATTCACTGGGATGAAAATCTAAAAGGCATAAGGAACTTCTGAAAACTCAAGCACCATGCATTAATTTAAACAAAGAAAAAAAATTTAACTCTGACAAGGTATGAGTACATACATAGATTTAGTAATTATTTTTTTTATCCTAAGTTCAAATCACCAGAATGGAAATCTTGAAAGATAAAAAAGAACTTCCTAAAACCCAAGCACCACACCATTAATCAAGAAAGTTATTTCAAATGTAACAGGCATGAGTACAAAGATTACACTCATCACAGTTATCTTTTGATCTTCTGTTCTAATCACTAAAATGAAAATCTTGAAAGTAACATAAAGAACTTCTGAAAACCCAGGAACCATTAATCAAGAAAGTCATTTGAAATGTGACAAGGCATGTAGGTTAAACTCATCACATCAATTCACATTAATATCTTGTATTCACCCAGCTACCATGTGGTCTCCATTTAGCACAAGTACAATATCCATATAAATTGAAAAACAACCAGGAAGCTATACAATAAGGTTAACTTTTTTACTTAGAATGGCAAGAAATACAATATTAACAAGACAGATGTTTGGTATTATAAATATGCAAATTACTGCATTTAAGAAATTTTGAACAAAACCCGGCCTTTGTACCGAGCATTTTTACTTGAATAACGCCATGGTTTTTCAATCTGTACTCCTCACTTTGTACGTCCAATGATCCGGTTAAAATAGGTCTAAATCGATCCACGAATAATTTCGTAAAAACAGTTTGGAAACCGAATCATTAAAATTTTGCAGATTGTGATAAGACTAAAGTAAACTGCAAGTTATGATTTTTTGGAAAATAAGATAAAATTATATTATTGAATCTAAGAGGACCTTAGGGGAAATGCAGATTTGTGTCTTAATTAAAGCGGTAAGGATTTTGAAGCGCAAACGAGCAAATTTCTCCAACGCTAAAATCATTAGTTTCTGCTGCAATTGCAATTATGTTATTTAAATGAATGAGGACATAACTTCGTCTGACGAATAACTCAAAACATCGCACAAAAGCGCGTTACAAGAAGCAAATCTTTGTGTGTCATTTCAGTGATTTTAATAACATCGCAGAAACCAAAAATATAATTTGCGACAGCTTGTTCATATCTGCGGCGCATGTTAATTTCCCGCGAAAGGATTTCTGTTGTTATTGATTCGTTTCGAATGTCACATAACACAATTCTTGAAATTTCGTCATGTGCTCCGCTGTCATGCCAGCAAATATTTCCTTCACGATGATTTCATTGATCTTTTGGCCGAAAATAAATCATTTTCCTTTAGTGAACCGGAAACTGTCGAACAAAGAGATTAGCATGCGTCCACAGAAAATTTCTATCCATTGTCGATCAATCTAACATTTGCATCTCAAGACCGAAGTTTTTTCGCTTGAGCGATTACGTTCCTGAAAAAATTCTGCACCTCATGAGTGATTTAGCACATGGCGGACCTTTTCAAAACTTTGAGCTCACTATCGATAACTAAGATTTTGAGATGTGGTCTAGAAATCGTAAACAATAATTAAATCTTACAAAAAAAAAATTGGAAGTTACTGACCGGCAAAATGCACCTCAAAGAGAAATTTGACCTAAGCGATCGAAACCAGCTGAGGGGCGCAATCCCTGAGAAACATTTGCTCTAAATCCACTCTACCTGGGCTTTATCGAGTTCTGTGGCCTCCTCTGATCCGGCCCCGGGTAAGGTTTCGTCTCCTAAGTGGTTTTCCTTCGTGTCATTTGTTTCATGACCTGACGAATCGATCAAGGTGTCAGCAGATTCAGTCTTTGATTTCTTTGGATTTTCTTCGTCGCAGTCCTCAAGCTCTTTCCTTTTTTTCGGCTGCGTTTCCGAGTTAGACATTTGTGCAACAAGCAATTCCTGGACAGATATGTGAAGAGTGAAGAGAGATTCCCCTTTTGCCTTTGAACGCACAAAGACCGCCAAATAAAGAACTGAACTGAATGAACTTGGCCCCCTAGACGGGGAGGAATGGGGAGTAGTACCCAGCACGTAACATCGCGATCACGCTTTGTCCCGCGTGAGTACGCGCGTGTAGCTCCTTCTCTTATTGAGCTACGATCCAAAGCCCTATTATTAATTAGCCCTCTTATTAAGGCTAGAGACTAAAGATGTAGATTGAAAACAAATGAGGGAGCTGCAATTTAAATCCTATTCGAAGAGAAGCCAAATGCCGTGTGATCTCTTTTATCAGGGATCCTTCCAGGGTGCCATAGAATGGGTAGTGTTGCGTGACATTAAAAAAAAACGGCTGCGAAGAATTGGGATATAGTCCCACTGGCAGTAGGTTTTTTTCATATGCTTTTAAAAAGTAAAAAACAAAACAAAACAAAACAAAACGAAAAAACTTAAAATGCCCAAAAGCCCGCGGGTCAGGGGTCATTTTCAAAGACATCACCCTCGGAGTACGTTACAAGTACGAGACGAGCGTGAGGAGATCTTTAGGAAGAAGGGGGTCGCGCGCGAGGAGGTACTTACAAAGCTCTATTTGCGATGAGTTCATGCTTGCATCAGTTCGTTTGAAAAACGCTCAATTTAATTTTGTATGTCTTAGTGAAGTTTTTTTCCAAATATATATTTTCGGCCCTTTATACCAGTCATACTTCTCTCAGAATAGTTTTTACTTTTTGTGGAGCAGTCTCATTTTTCTTCTCACATGACCTGCTCCACAATGGAGATCTTCAATTAATAATAATAATAATAATAATAAAGATAATAATAATAATAAAGATAATAATAATAATAAAGATAATAATAATAATAAAGATAATAATAATAATAAAGATAATAATAATAATAAAGATAATAATAATGATAAAGATAATAATAATAACGAGGCGGCTCTATTTTATAGAGGTTAGCAATTAACAGTAATGATCTGGTAAACATTGTAAAAAACATAAATATATATAGTTTTTAAAAACCCCAACTGGCAGGAGGCTGACGAGTCGGTCATGTAGAGAGGGCAGCCGAGGAATTGCACTCGGGACAACCAAGAACAACTTCAGTTAGTAGCAAGTTGAAGGTTTTGAATCCGAGACTACCAGATTACGGGGCCATCGCCCTTACTGAGCCAAACTTCCTCCAAAGTCGGATGACAACAAGCTCTTGAGAGTATCGGGGACTTTGATATATTCTAGGGGGTGGAGTTCATTTAATCGATAGGGCTGCCCTTTCTACATTTAAGCGGAAAACGTCCGTAATCAGTGCTTCTTTGAAAACAAGCAGACAATCCCACTGGGCAATGCCAATCGTATAATTGATTCCAAGCAAGACTGTACGATCTAAAGGAAGCAATACATAATTCCATTGAGAAACTGGACAGACGGTCGCTACATATATAGGAACTGAGAGCTAAACTCACATTGTATAAAACCTACATTTCAGCGCTACACACTGAATTCTCTGACAATATCTAGTCAGATTGATTTACCGTGTAAACAGGTCAGCAATACAGAACAAACAGGTCGCAGAGGAGAGGAAAAACAGTTCAGCGGTATGCCAAACAAACATGCATGTGTTATCAATGAGAAATTTTATGAATTTACGTTATCTGACAAAAAACCAGCTCTACATATCTCACTAAGTGTCAACTACAATAATAAAAAAAAAAAATCAAGTTAGAGCAGAACTATCCGAAATCAAATGCAATCGTTCGAAATCGGACGGAATCGTTTGCAGTTCAGATGGTTTGCAGTCGTCTCGCCTACGGGTTGTTTCGCTTATGACCAATTCCCTACCCTCTTAAGTCGTTTCGCTAACGTCTCAAAGGTCGTTTCACTAACGTTTGAGGTTATTTCACTTCCGTTTGTATTCAGTTTTGTTTTCTTTGAAGTAGCGACAAATGAAATGCTGTACAGCAATACCGCGTAAGATCGGCCGATGATAGACCGTATTGATTGGTCGAAGTCGCAATGATCACTACATGTACATGCATTTTCTTCGACTTCATTTTGTCTTGAACCGACTTGTATCAAGACATAATCTCTTGCTTGTATCAAATCGACTTTCAGTTTGCATGGAAACGAACTAGCTCCCTCCGACTTTTTGGCCGATTAGAAATCGATCAAGTTCTGCCGATAGAATCACTTATCGTTTCGTAATACGTTAACGAAACGACCTGAGATGTTAGCGAAACGACATGAGACGTTAGCGAATTGGCATGGTCTTTAGCGAAACGACTTGAAGGCGAAACGAACAGTTACCATTCAGGTAATAGGGTACAAAAATGGTCTTTGGCGTCCGAAAGAAGACGATAGCGTCCGAGATCGAACGGAACGGAAGTGTTCGAAATAACTCAAAATAACCCATCTATCCATAAAGGTAAGTTCCATTAAAGTCAATTTTATAGTCCTTGGGGATGCATTGTGGTCCCACAGGAGTGCCATATCGCTCCACTATCTGCCCAGTGAAATAATACGGCTCTATGGGTTTGATCAAAATGGCGTTGGTAGATCCGATGGAAGGATCCTCGTCAAAGTAGTTGAAAGGTCTTATGAAGAAGCTGGCGGAGTTGGCAGCCGTAGCGGTGTTAGGCAAGTCTTCTGAATGAGGCACGTGCATCGCCCCTATTGTTACCCAGGAAACCAGGTCCTCATTGACAATGGGATCGTCATCCACGAGGTAATTACGGAAATCAACCTGGGAAAAATATGAGACAAATATTTTTAACTTTTATTAGCTTTAACAGGATTTCCCTTTCTTCTAATTGGCTGTTGTGATACATTTGGTTTTGGGTTTGCAACGCTTAGTCAAACAGCACTCTTAGTCGAGATAAAGCAAGTGGTTTATCTGTTTCACGACCTACCCTAAAACATACCAAAATGGGCTTTTAAAAAGTGTAGTTGCCACTCAAAATCAAATGATTTAGATAAAAATAATTACAGAGTCCTAATTATTTACAACCGGTATGATAATTTGACGACGAGTAAGGGATGCAACCAACCCAAAAATCATTTCTGAGAGCTGACGGAGTATTTTGAAAATATTCCTGACTCTTTGCTGAAGGGCTGAGAAACGAACCAAGCAATTTTATCTCACTGATTTCCTTTTTCGTGCGTGGAAGGTTTGTGTTAGAAATCCGGAGTCAGGCTCAAGGAGAGAGGTACAAGCCCAGATGGGAGAAGAAGAAACAAGTACACACATATATGAAGGCTACGTCTTGTGTAATTGTAAGATGCTATCGATTTACCACCACTCCACATGGAATGCTCCAGATTAATCATTTCCTTAAACAAATTAATTACAAACCTGGGAATTTGTCGGTGACTGTTGGTTATATATAGAGCTGCTCTGTGTCTCATTCTCTTTGTATTTGGTGACAGCCATTTGGTAGAGGGACCAGCTCAACATCGGTGTGATCATCCAGTCTTCTGGGTACAACTGCTTCAACATGTTGTCCAGTTGGATGCGGTATCCTTTTTTCACACCCATTCGGTTTTTCTTCTTTTCATTGAAGAAGTTTAGGTACATTGGATGGTCAAAGTCAAACTTGTAAGCGGCATCCATTTCTGTTTTCTTCACATCGCGTTTCAGAACTTTCTGAACACGTCGTCTATCGGGAAACCATCGCTCAGTGATGTTTTCGATTCCAATTTCAATGGTCTCGAAAGAGTTCTTACGCCCACCAATGTCCAAGTCTACTTTATAATTGATAAGGTGATCGTGTGTACCACTTGTGAAATCCTTGTGGAGGGGGTATGCGTAAGGGTCCATGTTGGAGTCATAGAATGCTCCATAGACGTACCCAGAGGCTGACATTTTAACTTCAATGACACCATTTTGGTAAAATAAGAAGTCAAACACGTAGTCATAGTTATACAGCGTCGCCACAGAACGCAGAACTAAAACTTGGTTGGTCATTCCTCCGTAGAATTTATAACCATTGTAAAAGTTGTTATCATAATGTCGGCGAAGTGGCATTCCAGTGTTTAGTTCAAATACACAGACGGCGTTTCGCACAGTCGTTGGTTTTTCAAACATGTGCACCAGGTCAAAGAATGTTGCGGAGTAGGGACAATCCACACCACGAACCAGCTCCATGCTGTATGCTCCCATTCCCCAGCCTCCATCGAGGAAGTTATTCCACGAAGCGGCTGGGTAATAACCTGTATATGTTGCAGCTGCTTCTTGAAGACTGAGCTCGTAAACAATTCTCTCTCCGTTGAATTTTATATCGTAGATCTGCATGCCACTGTTGGAATCCATTCTGAAATCGAAGGACCAAGACATGTAGCTGACATGACGTCCGTTAACGGTATAGCGTTTTCCATCGGGCTCGTACTGTTCTGGTCCTCTCATTGGTGTGGGTGGCTGTGGATCTCTCCGACGTTGATAGCTTGAAAACAACGCGTCCTTCCCCTTTGGTGCAGGAACAAAAATCTTGTTGATGGTGTTGTTCTCGTATTTGGCCGCTAACTCATCAACAGAGTCAAATGTCTGATTATTGTAGAGAACCTTGAGTATTTTCCATTTTTTCGTGTCCGCTCCTCCAAAATCTACTAACATCGACAAGTCAAGATGTCCTGTCATGTCACGTTTGAAATTGATCCAACTTATGCGATCTTCGGCAGTAAATCCCATAGGAGAAGTAAAACCAATTCCAAGACACTTAGGTGACTTGCATCCGGTGAACGAGAAGCCATCGTAACTCTCTTTCATCAGCTTATCGAGTTTTGCAGAGGCATAATGTACAACATAGGTCATTATCATTCTCATGCGAGTATCAAAAGGCCGAGCATTGAATGTTACAAAGTCTTTCTCCCCACCAGGAATCTTTCTTGCGACGTGCCCAGTAGGTTTGGAAACAGGGCTGACTATATATTCTCTGACAAGCGGGGGATTGGCAGCGCCATGAAATACCACCGCCACAGCTTTCCGTTCAGGCTTGGTGCCATTGTTGTCCAAATACTCTAAAGCTTCATTCTTGGACGGTGGAAGAAACTGTATCATGTAGATGTAATTACTGTCGACCGATGCTTCGGCAGGTTCCGTTAGGTTAAGTGAAGCTTGCTCCATTAGATACGCTCTAACAGCGGTGATTTCTTCGATTGTTAGATCGTCGAAAAGACCCGAAGACTTAGGTGGGTCAGCAAGGCCATCCATTCCATTTACACAGTTTTCCACTTGAATAACATGATCTCCTTTGGAATTTTCAGCTGGCTCACGATCGCTTTTTGATTTCTTCGTTGCTACAACAATCAACGCAATCATTAACGCTAAACTTATCAAAATGAAGACGATGGCCAGAACTTTCCACACCACGGGTGCATTGGTAGGTGCGCGATCGGATTTCTTCTTGACCATGGGATCACTTGTCTCCATGACAATAAAAACTGACCTATAAAATGAAAAAAATGGTCAACTGACTCGTGTTATGGCGTGACTTCAAGCGATACTTCAATACGTCAATACACCAAGGGCTAAAAATAGCAGGGAGTTGTGTGTTCAATTGAAGATCACTGTTAGAACGACCTAAGAGTATTTATGCCTACTTGTTGAACCTCAACAGAAAGCCGTCAACATCCTATTTTCAATGAGGCATTGATACAAGTAATCGTAGTTCGTCATTTTGCAAAACTCCTGCAGGGCTGGTATTGCTTGAAAGACCGTTGTTGTCTGTCTCTTAATCTACGAGTACACTAAGCAATTGTTACTCGCTTTACGCCCATGCATAATTAAACAGCCTAAAAACATTTGAAATGTCACGTTGAATCTGCAGAATACTTTCGGGGGAATGTTTTAGAGTTAAATTTGTTGAAAACACAAAACGTTTTTAGTATCATCGTGATATTTTGATTCAAATGAATTTGAAAGGATCCTATCATGTGTACATTGCGTCTAATATTTTAGGTGTTTTTACAACTACGTTAATCAACTGTCCCAAGCGTAATTTCAAGCGACTCAAGTATTGAATATACCAAAGGCTAAAAATAGCAGGAGGTTGTATGTTTAATTGAAGATCACTTTTGGAACGACCTTGGAGTTTCGTTGCCTTTTCGTTCAACTTCAGCTGAAAGCCACCAAGAAAACATTTTCAGTGAGATAGAGAAACTAGTAATCATGGTACGCCATTTTGAAGGAAAACCCGGTATTATTTGAAAGACTAATTAATATTGTCTGTCTCCTGATCCGTTTGGATGAGGCAGTTTTCAATCCATGCATAACTAAACAGCTCAAAAACATTTGCAATGTCACGAATTGAAGAAATTTGCAATGTCACGAATTGAAGAAATTTGCAATGTCCCGTTGAATATGTAAGGTACATTCTAGGACATTTTTATAATTCAAATTGTTCAAAACACACAACGTTTGAGTGTCATGATACCTTGGAGTAAAAAGAAAACGAAAGGAGCAGAGTACATAGCGCAGTAACACAATGATCCTGGCTAGGTATCGATATTTCAGGAGTTGCAGCTCACCGAGGGGTTTCAAAATGCACCTACGTTAATCAACCATCTAAAGCTAAGAGAAGGTGCAAGAAACTACATATTCATTTCCTTCTCGTTTTGAATTCTTTGCAATTGCATTGGAATGATGTATCATGGATTGAGGTGTGATTTTACATATGATAAAGAAATGGTCGCAACGACAAAATGCAACCAAGTGAAACTGTCGTTAAATATTTGGATGATTTTTCCAATTTAAGATTTCATTTTGAGTTTAAGCAAAAAGCTCCCGCGGTGAACATGAAAGGAGAGTATTACAGGCTTCCTTAGGCAACTCGCCTCACAATGAAATATTTTTCCTGCCGATTATCACTCCAATTACACAGTATGTTTGTTTAATTTATGCTGACTCTCAACAAAAGAATTTTGATTTTGGATTACGCCACGAAAGCATCCGTTTATTGATAGAGAAGCGTTTGGACTAGCCAGAACAAGAGATCATGGCATTGGATGTGATCCTCATTACACATTCAAATAGTACAGGTCTACATTGACTTAAGCAAAGTGAACTGCAGGCCTTCAGAGCAAAAGGTCAAAAACCACTTCTAATGAAATCCAATTCCTTCAATCTAGAATGTCTTTACATGTTTAAATACCGTTAAATATCGCTTCTAGCGAAAGCTGGACCTTGAAAATCAGTGCATCTGAAAGAACCTCACCTGCAAGACGATGAAATACCCAATATACACTAAGCGTTCGTGAAGCTGATCAATGAGTAGTGATTGTGACTGAACCAACGGCCCAGCATGCTTTTCAAGCTTAGATGCCTCTCCCAGCCCCACTAAAATACAATTCTGTGCGTGATCGCTTGTTTAGGTGCCCTCGATTTGTTAAACTTTCGACCGCCGGAAATAAATTAAAATTTAAGCTTTCAGCAAGTCACATACAGTGTACATGAATTGGTAATATCTCACGGTAACATGGAAAAATTATTGATTTTCTTGGAAACCCGACATAAGCTTTTTTCACCAATTCAATATCATTCATGTCCGTGAAATGCAACGAGGATTTTAAATAGTAAAAAAAAAAAAAAAAAAAAGAAATGATAAATACAGAGGGGCAAAAATGTATATGATTTCATTAACAATCCAGCTTCAACTTGCATTACATAGGGAAAGAATATGCCGGTCAGTAATCTGTCAAGTGTTCCAAACAATGTACATGAAAAAAAAAGTGTCATTATCATTCATCATGAAGAGGTCAAGAGAAGATGAACAACTTCATATTTAAATTAAATTAAAATTTGTCTAGACTTCTTTTCAAGATGTAAATTTCCCTGACACTGAAAGTGAAATTCTCTGACTTTTCCCACGCCTTGAGGTAATTCATTTTCCCTTTTTCCCATGTTGACCAAGAAAAATCCTCGCCTTCGAAATGTTCAGAGCACACTTTGACACTAGATGTTACTGTTCGGTATTTATTTCTATTTTTGTTTATTCTAGAAGTCCGCACCTGTTTTTAAAGAAACTGAAAATCAACCATCACATCACTAGACGCAATTATTTTTCTGGTCGTTTACTCAGCAGATTCCGTGCAAGAAGTATTTGAAGCAACGTAGCATGGATACTGAACTTCTAAAGCTTATGATACTTAGGGTATTTATGAAAAGACTAATCCCATTTCAGACCACGCGACCAACTTATAACGCATGAAGCTATCAAGTCATTGATCACGGTTAAGAAATTGAGTCAGTCTAAACATCTTAACCCTTCGCTTCAGTCGTGTTTGTTGTGTAAAATTTAATTGTTGTTCAGTTTGTTATGTTTATCGAGAGTAAGGATAAGCGATCACTTTGTGGTACAATGCAATAGCCCCACATGCGATAAGGTTTGTTTTTGTAATCTCACTAAAACATTCGCATCAAGTGCCTTTCTCAAGTTGTGCTAAAATCATTTAAACCGAAGAGATACGTCGACCACGTTTGCACATTTCTTTTAAAATCGGAATAATCACTTACTTCGCATTTGAATATTTCGGTGTTCCTTCAAAATGTCAAGGTATGAAGACAATGGAGCTTCGAAAGCGGTGCAATGAAAAGTGAATAACAATGACATAATGATTGACACAAAGTCGCTCGATGTTTTACATAAGCTGTCTCTAAGATATTCCGTTGCTGTCACGTAACTGCTGAGCGAAAAATTTTCGCTAAAGTGTATCGTTTCTTGAAGGCTTTTTTTTTTCTTAAATACAAACGCATTTGCTGGATGTATTTGCGAGGAGTTTGATACAGCGAAAGTTCGTAATGCACGACTATTCTCTTGCTCTCTACACTAGCTCCGCTAAAAAGTATCTGTCATACTGTCACGCTAGTCTATTTATAAGTTAGTAACCTCTGCAGATCTGCCACTGTATGTATCAGTCTTACACTGACGCGACGGATTAACGGTTCCATTTGATTCAGGTATGATCTTTTTTTTTTTTTTTTTTAATAGTGTATTGAAAAGCTTGAAACACATCTGTGGATTAGCTCATCCTGTAGGAAACGTTAACACCATTCTAAACGGATATTTATTACAAACTATTACCAAGAGGCCATCCGGGAGCCGTTTAGGACGTTTAGGTTTACCAAGTACAGCAATCAAATTGAATAATCACAATTGAATAAGGAAGTAAGGGCTCAACCGAAGATCGCTGTAAGCCTTTGTAATTATCATGGGGAACAAGGTTTCATATCCAGCCTTTTTTTTTTTTTTTTTCTGTACTTCAATATTATTTCCGCTGTACACCGTCAGTATATAAATCTTTTCATCAATTGGCTGATTTGCTTCGGAAAAAAAGTCATGCTTTTAGAGGTGGCTATTTAAAAGAAAACGGATGAAAAGCAAAACATTCATTGGAACAAGCAAATTAGTAAATGTCTCACGACAGTTTTGTGTGACAATTTCCCAACAGTTTTACTAAAATGCGAAGTTATTGCCAACAGAACTGCGAGAAGAAGCAAGAAATTGCTGTCAGTTATCTACTGATATTGATACATAGCTGTTTTCAAGGTTACATTTTCAAAAACGTCCTCTGCCTCAACTATTATATGCAAATAATCTATCTCTCACACTGTCTGCTTTACATCATTATTGTTATTGTTAAAGGGATCTTAAGAGTCACGTTTTTTGCGTTGTCACCGCATGAAATGAAAAACAGGGCTGAGACTCTGAGTATGCTTGTTCGTTTTATCGGGAAGCCGCATGGAAGCATTTGAAGATTTTGAGATCATTAGAGAAGGAAGCCCACGTTTTGCAAGTTATATTAAAGTGAGGGAATTTCGACCCTTGAATTATTTGTCCCCAAGTCTATGGCGCTTTCTTTTCGGTCGAAACATATTATCCTCGCGTGCGCTTAGGGCCTAAACCCTGTCAGTTCCAAAGAAGTTCATTTTTTCTGGTCTTAATACAGTATCAAATTTGGTTGTGTCTTTTATTTCCCATAACGTGAGCCATAAAAGAAGGTTTTACTTTTAAGTTTTGCTTGATCGGTATTGATTGATTGGTATCAGAGTACAAAGCATAGAGCAGAGCTAAAGCTGTCACGCCATCTGCTAAATTGTACTATGTCCAACGAAGCAAAGCTACGCCTCGTGTTTCTCCCTACACTTCTTTCGTGCTCTAGTCGCCTCCTGCGTGCATTACAACAGAACAGAGCACGGTCAAGGCTTCTCTATTTGTTAAAGCATGTATAAAATTACCACAGCGTTTCCAAGGTCAAGAGGACCAGAATTAATTAAGTCCAAAGAATGCCACCCGGAGGCACAAAACAATATCTGCTAATTGCACGCTATTAGTCAGCAAAAGTGATAATCTCAAATTGATTTCATTTCTACCTTGCGTAGGTCGTTGTTGGCAATGGAATCGAGCGATCCTATGCTTAAGAAGAAAGCCAGCCCAGCGCCCAGCTCAGTCCCTATGCTGTGGAAGGTCCTGGCCATCATCTTCATCGTGATAAGTGTAGCACTTTTAATTACTCTGATAGTTGTTGCAACAAAGCAACAGAAAGGGGCCGAGAACCAAGACTCAAAGCCAAAACCAACCTCTAAGACCACGATGAGTGTGGAACCTTGTGCTGATGGAATGACGAGTTCCAAAGAACCACCAAAGTCTTCGAGTCCTTTTAACGACCTGACAGTCAGCGAGATCACCGCCGTTAGGGATTATTTACTGAAGCAGGCCTCACTTAACCTCACGGAATATTCCAAGGCTACAGTCGACAGCAATTATATTTACTTGATACAGTTGCTTCCGCCGTCGAAAGAGGAAGTTCTGGAGCATCTAGACAATAATGGCGCCAAGCCCGAACGAAAAGCTGTTGCTGTGGTTTTCCATGGTGCCACCGATCCACCTGTGGTAAAAGAATACATCATCCATCCGGTCTCGACGCCAACTGATTACAAGGTTAGAGAGATTCCAGGTGGACAGAAAAAAACTGTTCCATTTAATGCTCGCCCTTTTGATGGCGTTGTAGAATATAACGCACTGGAAAGAACGATTGTCAAGGAAGCTGCCAGTAAACTCGCCAAGTTAATGTCTGAAAGTTATGACGGCTACATCTACATCGTCCCCTGTATCTCTGGTATAAAGTGCTTACAGTTCCTTTACACAGCTCCTATGGGTTTTACAGGGGAGGACCGCTATACCTGGATCTACTTTTTTCGCGGGGATGTTGCGGGCCATTATATTCATCCTCTAGACTTGATGTTCCTGGTAGATCATGGAGGAGCGGACGTTTCTAAATGGAAAATCCTCAAGGTTCTTTACAACAATCAGACTTTTGACACTATAGACGAGTTAGCGGGAAAATTCGAAAATAATACCATTAACAAGATTTTTGTGCCAGCTCCAAAAGGCACAGACGCGCTATTTTCCAGTTACGAACGTCGAGAAGTTCCTCAGCCATTTAAGCCAATGAGAGAACCAGTGCAGTATGAGCCCGATGGAAAGCGTTACACCGTAAATGGACGTCAAATTACCTACATGTCGTGGTCGTTTGATTTCAGAATGGATTCCAACAGTGGCATGCAAATCTACGACATTAAATTTAACGGAGAGAGAATTGTTTACGAACTCAGTCTTCAAGAAGCAGCGGCTACTTACGCAGGTTTTTATCCAAGCCCCTCTTGGAATAACTTTCTTGACGGCTCATGGCGAATGGGAATGAGTAGTTACGAAATGGTTCGAGGCGTTGATTGCCCTAATACTGCTACTTTCTTCGACTTAGTGCACATGATTGGAGTTGGAAATCCGCAGACCTTTCGCAACGCAGTGTGCGTATTTGAACTAAATACTGGAACACCACTTCGTCGACATTATGATAACAACTTTTATAATGGTTACAAGTTTTATGGAGGGATGGCCAACCAAGTATTAGTTCTGCGTACAGTGGCAACAGTTTACAATTACGATTATGTTTTCGACTTCATATTCTACCAAAACGGAGTCATTGAAGTCAAGATGTCAGCTTCTGGGTATATTTTTGGAGCATTCTATAACTCTAACATGGACCCATACGCATACCCGCTTCATGAGGATTTCACAAGTGGTACACACGATCACCTTATCAACTATAAAGTGGATCTGGACGTTGGTGGCAGGGGAAATTCGTACGAGACTATCGAAATTGGGATCGAAAACATCACTGAGCGATGGTTTCCTAACAGACAACGTGTCCAGAAAGTTCTGAAACGCGATGTGAAGAAAACAGAGATGGATGCATCTTACAAGTTTGACTTCGACCATCCAATGTACCTAAACTTTTTCAATGAAAAGAAGAAAAACCGAATGGGTGTGAAAAAAGGATACCGCATCCAGCTGGACAACATGTTGAAGCAGTTGTACCCAGAAGACTGGATGATCACACCAATGTTGAGCTGGTCCCTCTATCAAATGGCTATCACCAAGTACAAAGAGAATGAGACACAGAGTAGCTCTATTTATAATCAAAACTCGCCAACAGATCCACAGGTTAGGCTCTCTTTTTCTAAAGCTTGTTTTCTTCTGTTTAACGTGAACTAAATATATATGAATACATGTAGCGAAGAAATAATGTCTGTTCTGGAGGATACAGTATAAGAGGATTAAGAGCTGCGTGGAAAACACTCTTCCAAACGTTTGGTAATAAATGGAAAACGCATCCAATCTGACCACGTTGAATTGAAATAATGCTCTCTTGATGAATATATTTTGGAGACAACGATAGTTTTTATGGTATCGTGCTCGTTGTCATTGGTTGTATGTTGTCAGGCAAGGCAATGAACGCCGTTATGAGTGCTTCAAACGTTACGAATATATTTAATCTTTCTTTACCATTTCACAGGTTGATTTCCGTAATTACCTCGCGGATGATGACCCCATTGTGAATGAGGATTTGGTTGCCTGGGTTACAATTGGCGCGATGCATGTGCCTCATGCAGAAGACCTGCCCAACACCGCCACGGCTGCCAACTCCGCTCGCTTCTTCATAAGGCCTTTCAACTACTTTGACGAGGATCCTTCTATCGGATCTACCAATGCCATCTTAATTACACCGATTGAGCCCTATAACTTCTCAGCGCAGAAGGTAGAGCGATATGGCACTCCTGTAGGACCGCAATGCATCCCCAAGAAACACACAACTGACTTCAAGGGTACTTATTGATGGACAACTGTTTTTTGTTGTTGTTGTTGTTGTTATTATTTTTGTTTTTTTTTTCTGTTGTTTGTTTTATTTGGAACGGTATGCTTACGAATATGTCGTGTTACTCTACTTAGTGAGGTAGATCAATTCATAATATACCAAAGTCAAAAGCTACCACCAAATTGTAAAAATGTTGAGACACTTTGAAGAAAAAGTGCGTTTAGCGATTTCATCTGAAGGTTAATAAGAATGTTAGTGAAAAAAAAAAATCAAGAGGTACTCCCATGTACATGATACTGCCTATAGCAACATTGCAAAAGAGGGGTAAGGGGATACAATATGTTGGATCACATGGTGAACACTTTTCTGTTCTCAAATGTCTCAACTACTTTTGCAACTGGTTATACCTTTATCCTTTAATCTTTTGATTATACGATTAGGTTTCATGAAATTCTTGTTAATTAAATCTTTAATTTAATTAAATCTTGTAAGAAGGAAAGCTCTTGTGTTGGATCTTAATAGAGTAAGATGAGTGCAACACTACGCTAGGCTTTTATTACCACAGTTGTATTTTCTAATTATTTTAGTCTTCATGATTTCCAAATCACTGCGGCTGTAAACATGGTTTTGGTGTTCATTTGATTTAGGAGCATTTTGACAAATTCTGATACTATGGGCATGTTTTCAAAACCGTCCGTAAGCTCCTTTTCCTTGACATTTTCCCTTCTGTCGTGAAGGCGTGCATGGATAGGAAAAATTTCTATTTGTTCTTCGGTGTCGCGAATTCCTCTGTCCCTAAATTATTTTACGTAGATTGTAGAATTTATTGCAACTTTGCGCTTATTCTTAGAATCACAAACATTAGCACATGCACCCAGCATAATATGGAAACTTTTTGTCGCCAAATGAACGATTTAATCTTGTCAAGTCATTAAGTAGACGTTTCACATTTCCCTAATTGTGAAAAAAAAACAAGGATATCAGTAAATTAACAAGCGAGTTTAACTTGGTACATTTTTTGCGTAAATGGTTCGTTGATAAGGTAACTCTCAGAAAGGCCTGTAGCTTTAACGACGAGACGGAAGCAAAGTGGAAGAAGGCAGACAATAACAGAACCAACTATGAACATAATAAATCTTCAGCGCCTTGTCCTTTTTTTTTTTTTAATCTTTCCACTTCTTCTTCTCAGTCACCGCTAAACAGGACAGTGAGATGTTGCTGATAGTTTAGAGTCGTGATCTTGTTTTCATAGTCATTATCAGCAGTACGTTGAGGAGAACTATGAAGGGACAACTGATGGTGTTGATGACGATGGTTATAATGTAACTGAGCAACAATAGGACATCTGCTGTGTCGCCTTCTCCAATGGTTAAGTTTGTAGCGTTTGTAAAACTATCCATGGAAAAGTTTGCCATATCTAATTGGAAATTTAATGCAACTAAAGTATGTATCTGAACAACCGTTTCTACAAGACGTTTACTATTACATAATACGAAGAAAGTCAGGTTTCATTTTTCATCTCCTGGGAATGACTACTGAATCCATATATGCATGACATCAATGCAGCACAAAGCTGAATTGGAAACGCTAAACTCCGCCCGGTCAAATAAATTTCTCTTAGTACTTTGCCCATGAATAAATTTCAATCCGAAAGTGACTGAGGCCCAATTTTAATCCCATCTTACCAATACTATAAAATTAGTTTTTAAAAGTCCAGAATCGTTTCAGCGCATGAGAGCCAAATTGAAGTTGTGGCGATAAAGAAAAACATCTTGACTGCCTTCTCACATAACATATTGTTCTAACTTCAGGAGATTATTTCGCTTTCCATGGCTACATAAATGTTTCGTGCACGTTTGGCTCATCAATTTTCGTCCGTCAAATCTTATTTGACGGACGAAAACTTTTGATCCTTTGGCATCTATTGTGCCATGGGCTTAAAGAATAGCATTTACATTACGGCTTTTTTAATGGCCAGTTACATCGTTCGCAAGTTTCAATTTTACTTCTACAGCACAAGGTCTCGCAATTCGACTCACTGAAGTAAGCCAGGATGAAGGAATTAGAAAGTAAACTGATTTGAGTAAATGTTGTGCGCAACCGCTCAGAAAATTATGAAAATTACGAAAGTTGTTAACGATCCAAAAGAAATTTGCATTGAGAAAACTTGGTTTTTTTTTTGTTTTGTTTTGTTTTTGTTTTTGTTTTTTTTTTCACGCCGATATCACATTGTATAATTTACATAAGAGATGGCCTCAATCCTGAACATGGAAATTAAGTCCACCCGATGGGGAATATACTCTTGAAATCGAATTTCTTTTGTCACTATATCTGAAAGCAGGCTCTCTAGTGATTGTCAAAGTCTCTCTGACTGCCGTTCTGGTTGGTTTATTCCTTATCATAGTGTATGGCTTTACTTTTAGGAATCAGGTTGAATTAAATAGATAGCAATTGCAATAAACGACGAAACCAATCGAACATGCCTATCAGATTAAGCAAAAGGATTTCTTTAATTCCGTTTTAAACCGAAGAAATAACTGTAAGATGCCGCATGGATTGATTACGTTTGTAAGTGATGTGAGCCAATCACGCGCGTAATTTCATCCGTTCAAGGTACATTTTGCGGTAGCTGGAAGCAAGTGCACGCTTTTAGCTATATCTGTTTTATCCATAGTTAATCGTTTTGATTTTTCCAATTTACAGGGGACAATTTGTACACCAAATTTATGCAATAAAAATATTGGTCACCGTGCTAATTCAAGAGCTGAAGACCATCATGCTTCTTTACCTGGTGCATTGATTGAAAAAAAAATACCATGTTCTTGGAAAGCGCGCGCGCTTATCCGCCTGATTACATAAATGTTTATTTCCAGTACATGATGTGCAGTGCAATACTGAGGAATCACTTTAAAAGCAATTTCCTCACTTTCGGGTCGTAATGAAGAAATCGTTTTGTTTGATGGGTCCTCTCGGGAAGCGAAACTGTTTATTGCAACTACAATCCATAAAATTCAACCTGTTTCCTTACAGCAAAGTATCGCACTATCAAAAGGAGAAGAGAAATTAAAAAATAAATTAGTATAGAGTATATTTCCCATCGGTAACCGACTGAATTTTCATAATTAAGATTGGGGCATTCTCTTTCATGGATATTACGATGTCTTATCAATTAATCGCAAACCAAAATTAAAGAAACCCTTACAGCCTACGTAAACGGGTGAAACAACATTTTCTTCATGCTTATTTCGTTTGCATCATTTGCCTCATTAGCAATCATTCAAAAAGTATTCATAATTTTCTGAGCGGCTGCGCCAAACATGTGTTTTTTACCCTCTTGCTTTCCTATCTTGGTTTCATTGATCCGAATTGCGGAATATTGCGAGAAAAAATGGGCGGTTTACGCAAAAGGCAAATTATAAAACCACGACACGGAAGATGAGACCAGTGTCAAATTATTAGATATTTCAAATGAATCTTTCTTGACGCACCTAAAACGGTGAGCTTTAAACTTACAGTGATTTACATATGATTGGAAATGAAAAAGCCGCAAGATAGATTTCAAACTAAAGAATTTGTATATGCTTTTTTTCCAATGCAAATCTAATCAAACAAATGAAAACTAATCAACTTATGAAACACGAAACACCTATCGATCGATGGATAGCGTAAAACAATCCTCAGAAATTAAGTAAGAACATACTTCTAAGTGAAGAGACGATCGAACACTTTCTAGTCATAGTGGTCAATCGAGCTCTCAAGGGCTGAAACGATTTTAGACTTAAAAGCACACGTTTGGCAATACCTGAAAAATCTAATTAAAAATGACCTCAATCATTTTTGGAATAAGATTTATTCATGGGCAGAGCTTGAGGAAAATCCTTTTGATTAGGCGGCGTTTAGCGATTCTGATTCAGCTTTTTCCTGTATTGTTGCCGGACACATGTCGACTGAGAAGTTATTCCCAGGAGATGCTTAAACCACTCTCTATTAAAGCCATAAGATTTCCTGCCCCTTTACCTTCCTCCGATTTCATGCTAGAGAGAGAACGACTGGTTGAACAAGTTGTTCCGAGACGTATACTTATCTTGCATTTAGCTTCCAGATCGACATGGTAGACGTTTCCTTGGCCAGTTTTACAAATTTTACAAACAAAACTAGCGGACAAGGCGACACAGCAGATGTATCTCCGGTGGCTGGTGCCATAATCATAATCATCATCAACACCATCACTTTTCCCTGCACAGTTGTGCTCAACGCACTTGTGATAAAGGCTGTGAAAACGACGCCTCGACTCCGTACCAACAGCAACATCTTGCTGGCCTGTTTAGCGGTGACCGACGCCTTAACTGGTCTCCTTGGCCAGCCATTGTTTGTCCTGTGGAAGATTTTCCTATTAGTTGGTCTCAGTAACAGTAAAATAGTTGAAAACTGCAATTACACAATTGTGATTATAACACTTACAGCTTCATTCTTTCATCTGATGTTCGTTACTTTCGAGAGACTCATAGCTATCAAATTTACAATGCAATACTCAAACACTATAACTGATAATAGCATGAAGAGAGCAGTGTTAGTAGCTTGGATCATTTCCTTTATTTTTGGAGTTTTTGATGTGATAGAATGGGATCTAGTAGTACGTTCTCTGTCTGGTGTTCTTACTGCTTCATGTATTATTTTCCTTTCTGTCGCTTATTTCATCATGTATCGTGAAACACGTCGTCACCAAGAGAAAATTAAAACTCAGCAAATGCCCCAGGAAGAAGTGGAAAGATTTACCAAAGAAAACAAAGCGCTTAAGACAACTTTATATGTAGTTGGTGCTGTTTTTGTTTGTCTTCTTCCACTTTGTTTCTGTCTTATTGTTATAGCTACAGGTCTTTCTGAAAGTTGCCCCATCGATCTGTCATTGATGCAAACATGTGCCATGTTAAACTCGTTTGTTAATCCACTGATTTACTGCTGGAGACAAAAAGAGATGAGACAGGTCATTTTTGGAATAAGACCCGCGGTAGTGCATATACACAACCAGTGAAGGAAGGGAATTTGGTAGAAAGTGTTAAAACCTTAGGTACCACATATCTAAAATTTGCTGACGTCTTTTCCAGCCACTGGATAAACAAAATTCCTGAGTTACTGGTTTTTTTTTTGGTAATTATGTTTTCGGGAGGTGATTCGTTAACCGCCTGCAAATTACAAAGTTACTTTCAATTGTCCCTGTTTTCTAAAGTTATAATAAACAGTGAATACAACTTTTTGTTCGTTCTTTTTTTCTTTAGTTCTCGTTAAATGGTTTAAGAAAAGAACTACGCGTTTTCCCACGAAAAGGTTTTTTTGTTAATTGTCTCCTTAAACACAAGGGAATACTAATGAGTATATAGGATTTGCGTTATGTCCCAAATACAACAGGCAAGTTGCACAACCAATGCTATGCAATATTATGGAAGATATTCTTTTTAATGTTCTACAATTACAGCTATTTAGGCAGCTCTTTATTAGCTCGTAGCGTTTCTGATCAACTGATTGAATGTCAGTTATCATAACGATAATAGTTTCTACTGACCTGGAGCGTATTTCATGCCTGATCAACTGAGGTTAAAAGTATCAGAGTAACCACGACAGCCTATAGAATTTCGTCATTACTTTCCGGATTTCAGTGATCTGCGGCACCTCAGATAGTAACAATTTTTGCTCGCGACCCACGTCTACAATATCCCTTCATGCACAAGTGCAATTCAACGCTAAATACCCTCTCTTCGATAGCCAATCAGACCGCGAGTTTACCTCTAGCTATGCGATTCTATTATAGACTAATTTATTATGATTATTATTCCGACGCAGATAGCGGCGTAAAATCGCACAGTCTATAGACTATGTTAGTCACATATTACGCCGTTATCTATATTCACATCATCTAGGGGAAACTAGAAAACTCGATTGGCGACGGAAGCGCAGAAGTCCGTCAATAATTTCCGGACAGCAAAATTTGCGGCAACTGGACTTCTAGCAAACCAAGGGAAACTGCATTTGACATGCCTTCACTCGTCTTAAATGTTTCATAATACTCTCAATTGGAGTAAGCTTACTCATATTAAATGACAACAACATGAACAATACAGCATGACACACTGCAAGTTCGTTGCGTCATACGCTTAGCTATTCGGTGTACACATCAACGGTCTCAGTTGTATTAAGGACAGTTCTTGAAAGTTCAGTAGAGAAGTTTTAATGAAATTAAATAAGATTTTCGGCTACGTCAACAATAAAGCTAGATTCAGAGTCTAGTTGTCGGCAATTTTACCAACTGACGAGATCGATTACTACATGTTTTAGTTTAGGATCGTACGATAAACCCAACAACAATGACCGTCTGTCGGTGCTTTTACTGAAGCCTAATATCATACATAAAATCGGTCCGTAAAACCGTCCGTAAGCTCCTTTTCCTTGACATTTTCCCTTCTGTCGTAAAGGCGTGCATGGATAGGAAAAATTTCTTAAGTCTGTTTGTTCTTCGGTGATGCGAATTCCTCTGTCCCTAAATTATTTTACGTAGATTGTAGAATTTATTGCAACTTTGCGCTTATTCTTAGAATCACAAACATTAGCACATGCATCCAGCATAATATGGAAACTTTTTGTCGCCAAATGAACGATTTAATTTTGTCATGTCATTAAGTAGACGTTTCACATTTCCCTAATTGTCAAAAATACAAGGATATCAGTAAATTAACAAGTGAGTTTAACATGGTACATTTTTTGCGTAACCGAATTTCAAGGCAATCCGTTGAGTTTACGTACCTCATTAATTCGTTCAAAGAGGGCTCATTCGCGTAAAAACGAAGTAGGTTTTCTTTTTTGCTTTTAAAATTTTCCCAATAATTCACGCCATTGGATGACAACTTGTCAAGTTATGATTACACTCTAATAAATTCGAAATGCCGACCGCTAGTAGAAACACATAGGCGCCCTGTAGAGTCTCAGGTGACTCGGAGCGAAAACACTATGCGAGTGGCTATGAAATAGTTTCCCGTGACAGACCTTTATTTCAATTTTGCTGAACGATAATTTTTATTTCAACTATTTTTATTTTCAAATGAAAGCGCCTTAGGCAAGCCGCGGCAAACCTTGTGGTTACTGACGGAGTGCGAGCAGCGAAGATTGTCTAAACCACGAGCCTTTATCCGTTTCGGTGAGATTCTTACGCCTTTGTGCTTTGAATTTCTTTCTTTCTTTGTGTGGACATGCAGGCTTCTTTTTTACTTTCACCAATGAATTCGAACTCTTCTCCTTTTTATTTTTTTCCGTTCACAGTCTAGTTTTAAACGCAGGTAGATAGCAAAGATCTTTATGTGCAACAGAAATCAGGAGATGTTGGGGCGATTAGTTCATAGATCAAGATGTTTTGCCGCAAAAAAAAGAAAAAGAAAAACCATCGGTAGTCATCTTTGTTGGCTATCCATAATTGGCGAGCAAAAGAATTCAGTTCGAAAACATGTTTTAGTAAATAACTCGGGCGCATTTTAATAATTTACCAAAAGTTTTCTTGAAAACTCTAGTTAAAATAATAATGTTTAGTTTGACAATTAAGTGCCGCTCCCGAAAAGAGCGGTCCTCTCGACTTCCCATCGGAAAAAAGTTTTCTTTTATTTTTTGCCCATGAAAAGTGTTCAGGACACATGTTTCAAAAGTAGTTTAGTTGTTTTCCAATTCTCTTTTTTTTTGCTTCGCCACAAACCAAAATTGATTTTTGGCCAGACCACCTCTGAGAACAGCGATCGAAAGTGTCAATTTCAAAGATTTTGTCCAGCGCGCAGCGACTGCAACAATGTAGCTCACGGAATTCTATCTCGCTACAAGTTACATGGTCTATTCAGTTAGTTCACCGACAAAATATGGAAACTTCAGCTGAAATATTTTTCATACCAGCGTGATCAGAGGAGACACTTCTCTTCGACCTTACTTTGCATATCAAAAATTCACTACTTTGTACGAAAGAATTCTCAAAATGCAGGCGTTAATCGGGCCGAAAAAGCATATCAGTGCATAGTTTATACACAATTGAGGTCACTGATTGCCTCAAACCCGCTGGTGTATGGAAGCTAGAGATATACCAGCGGATATACCCGATATACCCGCAAAAAAAGAGAATTGGAAAACAACTAAACTATTTTTGAAACATGTGTCCTAAACCCTTTTCATGGGCAAAAAATAAGAGAAAACTTTTTTCCGACGGAAAGTCGAGAGGACTGCTCTTAGCGAGAGTGGCACTTAAAAATAATAATAAAAAACTGACCCTCGAAGGTCTACCGTATCTTTCAGTGCTATGATTGATCCGTCCCATGTGTGCACACTTGACTTTTTCTCGCGCATGAATTAAAATAGATTTTGTTTACATAATCAATAATGTTGCTTCTGTTATTGATAATTGCATCAATTTCGCTTGGTGCCACTAAAGAGAATGTTAAATGGGACGAATAAACGAGAGAGAATATGAAAAGATTAAGAGGGTCGCACGAATACTGGCAATTACCTTCGAATTTTTGGGGCTTATTTAGGTTGGTATAGTGAGCTGAGGGTTAACTTATGTGTGATGCATAAATAACATGGATAACAATGGATCTTTTTGTCGCTACTTTGGCCTTTATCGTCCGTTGCGGTCACTGGCGAAAGCTTTGGGTCAAGTGATAAAGCCTCTCCGATCAACTTGAGTGCTTGTATTCATGTTCAGTGTTTCATATTCCGCTTTGTTCTGTTTTATTGTTGTGCAGATGTGGACTGAGAAGTCATTCCCATGAGACGCTTATAAATCACTAGCTAAATAAAGGGTCACATTGCCCCCTGTATTTATCTTCCTCCGATTTCGTGGGAGGTTAAACATCTAGAAGAAACAGTTCTTCCTGAAGACCTAGTTCATTTGGACTGAGCTCCCATTTCGACATGGCAAATTTCTCCTTGGCTAGTTTCATGAACGCCTCGAACATCAATGATAGAGAAGCAGATGTCCTATTGGTTGCTGATTCTATAATCATAATCATCATCAACACCATCACTTTTCCCTGCACAGTCATTCTCAACGTACTTGTGATAAAGGCTGTGAAAACAACGCCTCGACTCCTTACTAACAGCAACATCTTGCTGGCCTGTTTAGCAGTAACTGACGCATTAACTGGTCTCCTTTGTCAGCCTTTGATTATCCTGTGGATAATAATACTATTATTCGGTCTCAGTATTAATGCAACAGTTGAACATTTCTGTTCCACATTTATTGCTGTAATGCTAACAGCTTCATTCTTTCATGTGATGTTGGTTACATTCGAGAGACTCATAGCTATCAAATTTACGATGCGATACTCAAAAATTGTTACTTACAATAGCATGAAGATAGCAGTGCTATCAGTTTGGATCTTTGTTTTCATCAATGGTATTTTAAGAATGACTGTCTACATAGTATCCCGTTATTTAACAGGCCTTATCACTACTTCAAACATTCTTTTTCTTGCTTTCACTTACTTCACCATCTACCGAGAGACACGTCGGCACCAAAAAATGATAAAAACTCAGCAGCTTCCCCAAGATGAAGTAAAAAGGTTTGTCAAAGAGAACAAGGCGCTTAAGACAACTGTGTTTATAGTTGGTGCTGCTACTGTTTGCCTTCTGCCGATTTGTTTCTGTTTTATCGTAAAAAATACAGGCTTCTATGAGATTTGCCCAATCAACGGACGATGGAGGTTGACATGTCTCATGTTTAACTCGCTTGTTAATCCACTGATTTACTGCTGGAGACAAAAAGAAATGAGAAAGGTCATTTTTGGACTAAGAACCCGGATCGTGTCTGTAAATATCCAGTGAAGGAGGGCAATGTAAAAGAAAGGGTAACAACTTGATAACTACACATGTAAAATTTTCCCTACGTCTTTTCCATACACTGGATAAACAAGACTCCTTAGTCATAGTTTTCCTATCTATTATGTTTTTGATCACGATAAATGATTCCAATTGCCTTTTTCTTGTGCATTAATTATAGTAATTCTCAATTATATAATTCAAAATAAATGTGGTTGGACCTGAAAACGCTAAAATATGGCAAAAATCCTAAAGAGTTGTTTGAGGGAATATCACCTTCTTTTCACCGCAGTCAGGGTAGAATTGGTATCGACCGT